TCTTTCAAATGATCTCCGCATTCGACTGGACAATGAATGTGACATACTCTTGTTTCACTCTGTTGCATCATCCCACCCACCAGGCATATAGAGTGCCCTGATTGGCCCACAAAGTGGATAAAGTTCTGTGATTTGTTCACTAAGCAGATAGAGCACTATGATTGGCCCACCATTATGGACCAATCACAGCTCTTTATGTGTTTGAAACTCCTCTAGAGAGCTGTGATTGGCTAGCCAGAGTCCTGGTAGGAGCTGCTGAGGTTCCAATGGAGCATGCCTAGACCATTCTTTGCAAAGCAAGAATTTGGTCTAGTTCATAGGCTACTGTTCAGCAGCTTCAGCTTACAGTTTCAGCTATCCAGCATTCAAACGGCATTTGTGCAATAAATGCAATTTTTCTAGTTTGCTTTGCCTTGATCACACATATGCTGTACTGCAATTTAAATGCAAACTAATGATTGGTGTTTCGACCATGCCTGTCACGTATTTTGACTTTTATCAGCTTGTAAAAGTTCGTCATTAGCAAACTACAAACCAGAGATTGACAGGTCACATGTAGTGACGTCACTACAGAATCTCCTCTCCTCTAGTGTAGCTGTTACTTGCCTCATGGCCAGATTTATGGTGGATCTTTTCTCCTGATGGAAGGATTTGAAGTTCGCTCAACTTACAGCCATTTTTCCTCTGTTTTTCTCCATTTCTAGTTCAATGGCATCACTTTCGTGAAGCACATTTGTAATCCTGGACTTATTTTCACACAAAACCTAAACTAACGTTTCTCCTCATTCGAAAATAAGCTCGTTCTTGTTATTAAAATGCTTCTTTGAAATTCACGGACATCATATGTGAAATCCATGGCAGATAACAAGCAGAATTAGAAAATAGTGTTTTTAGCCCCATTGACTAGCATTCATTTTTTTCATTCTTCCGGGGACCCATGGTACGGAAGTAGATGGGCGTGACTTAGGCTCCACGGGTGGAGATCAGCAGGACATTAGCTACATGATAACACGGTACAACGACTCCAGCGTCGTTGCTCTGCTCTGTTTTTCTTGCTAAAAGCACTCGGAACAACTCTGTTAGCTTTGGGTTAGCATGTAGCTAATATTTAGCTGATCTCCAACCGTGGAGAATGAGTTGATCTGAAAGACCAGGGCTCCCAGTCATGTTTTCGGAATTGTAGTATGTCCATGGAAGGTCTCGTCTTTCTTGCCTCTGATTATTATAGTGCTGAGTTAACATTTTCTTTACAAAACAGCTTTCTGTTGATGGCGATGGCAGGAGAATAGTTCAGTTTTAAATAAGTGTGTCTTTGTAATAAAAATTAGTCTTTGTCCCGATTAGAGTGACCGTAGACCGCACAGAATTTTGGCATTTAATTGCCCAGTCAGCAAAGTAAATGGTGGTTTTTGCAGCGCTGGCTACTTCCAGACCCCCATCTACATTTGGTGACGTTAGATGCAACGTCATGTGAAACCCAGCAATACAAATACAGGCCATTTACCATGAGTATTATATTCAGTCACTCCGTTTGGAGAAGGAAATTCCTGCTAAACTGGATCTGTGTGGATTTAACAGGCAGCCTGAGGAATCCCGTCAAAGCTTGAGCACACCTTCACTTGCTCCCATTAATTTGGACCTCTCCAGCTGTCCACCCAGACTTGTTAGACCAGTGGGATCAAACGCAGCCCGCAACTGACCTGAATGGAGGCGGTGACCGGGAGGATCAGTTGAAACATCGGGATGCCTGAAGCCTCCATGCGATGACGTGAAGAGGATTGCTTTAACAAGGCGCTGATTTTGTCCACTCAGCTCTTATATGGCTTTCGACAAAACGTCTGATGCTCTAAGTCATGTTGCTTAGAGAGCTCCCTCTGCTTCCCGCAGCTTTCAGCTCCACAGGCTAAATGTTCTCACTGAAAACACCTTAAACCACTGAAGCTGCAGATGGGTTCTGAGCTCAAAGTGTTCCGGACGTTTGAAGCAGCCTTCCTGAGGAGATCTGAGCAGAAGGTTTTACCTGAGCGCCTGAATCGTGCACCATATTGAAACTGGTGGGGGGCGGGAAGCAGAAATAAATAGCTCAAGTGCTGATGCAGCAGTTTGCTCCAGTCACTAAATCAGCCTCCTGGATGCATGAATCCATTTCTGTGTTTTTATCGTCAGCTGATCTGTTTACATCTCTGTCGTTGTTGCTCTTTCACTATTTGAGCCTGTTTGAGTCATGGCATTGTCATCTTGGAATATTCGCAGGGCTTTTTGTCTTGTTTTTACTGCTTTTGTTTGCTTTTACTGCATTTCATTGATTGTTTTACTTTCATTGTTTTTTCTGTTTTATTTTGTTTTTAAGTAACCTTCCTGTGCAGCACTTTGGTCAGCTCTCACGCTGTAATTTAAATATGCTATACATATAAAGTGGTATGGTAATATACCTGTGCCGTCAGGGAAGAAAACATCGAATAAGCTGGTCATTCAGTGGCCCAATCTCAATACTCGCATTTGCACCCTTGCGCCCTTCAATTGCGCGTTCCCGGCCAGGGGTGCGAGTGCGTAAGGTGTCCCGATTCGCAAGTGTGGAAGTTGACCACGCCCCCGTTGCACCCTTAATCTGCACTTTACCCAAGTTCGCAGCGACGCGGACCTCGGGCAAGGGTATTACCCACAAGTCATTGCTGCGGGAGAAATGGCTCAAGTTCCTTTTCTGAAAATATGTATTTTCTAATGAAATTGGTTCATTTTAGGATGATTAGTTGATGCTCTGAATGTTTTAGACCAAGCAGCAATGGTTAAATTTTATTTCAAGTAACTGCTTTGCTGTTTGTTTTAAAGTTGTTAATAAAGGTTTTTGAAAAAAGTTTCACAGCATCCCGGCACGCGTTGCGATCGGTGACGCAATGCTCCATGTCTCAATTCGGCAATTATTTGCGCACTTGTGTACTATGCACTCGAACCCTACTGTGCACTTTCTCCAAGTGCACTTTGCTGAAGACCGCAGGGTGCAGTGCTAGTATTGGGATTTGGCCAGTATAATCAAGTAGTCAGCTGACCTTGTTGTTGGCGCACATCCTGTTGCTGAACCTAGACCTGACCAACTGCAGCAACCCCAGATCATAACACTGCCCCCACAGGCTTGTACAGTAGGAACTAGGCATGATGGGTGCACCACTTCATCCGCCTCTCTTCTTACCGGCACCAACACTCAGCAACAGGATCTGTCTGGACTAACCAGACCAGTTTTTATTACTGCGCTGGACAGACCTTAACCCAGTTTTAGTTGTTTCCACAATCTCCTCTGCTTGATGCCAATAATCCGACCCTTCTCAAACAGACTAACATCTTTTCCAGGACCACCACATGTGTCTTTCTACATGGTTGTTTAAGAAATGAGAAGCAGCTCACTGCACCAGTTAGGGTTATATAACTTGTTGCAGCTGAAAGATTATCGCCCATGCAGTAATTATCCAATAGGAAGCTCGTACCTTTTTGCTTAGCTAAATACAGGTGGTGACTTTTGGTGGATGGCCAGTGTAACAAATATAAGACTCGAGATGTTTAGTGTTTAGTTTGTTTTGTTTAAAGTGGAATATGAGTGGCAGCTACTGACACCAGGGGCTCTCAAATTACAGGTTCTGCTTTTCATTTGTTTATGCCAGCAGGATAAATTATGTTTGAGTGAGTAAATAAGTTATGTTAGCAACACATTAAAGACACTGTCGTTTATAATTAACATTATCTTCCAAGGAGCAAATATTTCTTCTAAATCGAAAAAAAATAGCTGGATCAGGATCTTTATGTTTTTATCTGTTTTTGTTGGTTTTTGAATTTAAATAATCTCCAGAATAAAAGTATGTTCTGTCAACACATAAAACATCATTAGTATGTAAATCATGGGTATTTTAAAATTATTTTATATTCAGTTTTCTTCACTATCAATCCTCTCATTTCCTCCCATTCCACATAAAGCACTGAAGTCTCTAATGTGTTTCAGCTGTGTAACATGAAATATTGTACTGACACAGAGAAAATCAACAAACACGGAGCAGTTGCTCCTGAGGCACTCCATCTCCCATCATCTCGTCTGAATCTGGCATCACTTGGGAGTTGAAATCAGTCCCTGAAGTGGATCCACTTTTGACTTCTACAACCTCTGATCTCCTCGGGTGTCTGAGCTCTGTCTCTGATTGGTCAAGTGTGATCTGAGGTCAGCTGCTGTCATGCATTAGCCTGGCAAGCCAGACTAAATAAATGTATTATTTAGTCTGGCCACGCTCCATTGACGGCTCTCGGTTGTGGGGCGGGTTCTACCGTTGTCTTTCAAATGATCTCCGCATTCCACTGGACAATGAATGTGACATACTCTTGTTTCACTCTGCTGCATCATCCCACCCACCAGGCATATAGAGTGCCCTGATTGGCCCACAAAGCGGATAAAGCTCTGTAATTTGTTCACTAAGCAGATAGAGCACTATGATTGGCCCACCATTATGGACCAATCACAGCTCTTTATGTGTTTGAAACCCCCTCTAGAGAGCTGTGATTGGCTAGCCAGAGTCCTGGTAGGAGCTGCTGAGGTTCCAATGGAGCATGCCTAGACCATTCTTTGCAAAGCAAGAATTTGGTCTAGTTCACTAGGCTAGTCATGCATCTGATCTGAAGGGTGATTGGTTTACAGATGTAGATTTTGGAAGACCGACCAGCTGCTGCATCTGAGAAACATCTGTTGGAACTCTGCTCTAAACTCGTTTAGTTTTTATTAAGAACTTAATATTTTCCTGCAGAGGGGAGGATCACAAAGCATCTGGACACCTCTTTTCCAGAATTGTGCTTTTTTCAGACTTGAATCTGTTTGGTTAAAGAAGGTGCATTTATCCTTTGTTTTTGAATTTTCTAAACCATGTCTCAATAAGAAGCATCTTCTCTAACCTGCCACTGGCTTGTCTCCTCAGTTACCTCTAATGTGGAAGTCATGTTTGTTATTTTGTCCTTCTTCTGTGTTTCAGGTCTTGTGGCACCTGGATATCTTCCGCCGTAGTTTTCGCCAGCTGACTTGTCACAAGTGCATGGATGACTCGTGTATCTTCTGTGCTCTGAAGGTGAGCCTGACCTTGGATCATTCATTCATTCATGTGATTCAGCATGTTGATATTCCCAGGCCCTAGGCAGGTCACACAAAAACATTATAGGATGTAAAACAGGACACACACATTCACACACTACATTTTATACATCAGTTACAGATCGACTGGTTTGCCTTTGTAACGTTTTGTAAGTGGTTACTTTTAACAAATTGTCAAGACAATATAAAGATATTCAATAAAATGTAAAATCCCACTTAAAATATGGTTTATCAACATTATTAAGCCTTTAATATTTGGTTAATGATGAAACTAGATAATTTGGGTATGCCAGGGAAACAACACTTCATAATAATTTGACACAGAGGCAAAAATGTAGTTTGTAAAAATCAGTTTATGTCTATATTTCTATGATGATGCAGAACAAATGATTATAACGATCAACTGAGACACGGAATAAGCAATGATGAAATATGAGCTTTGATGTTATCTTAAAAACTTAATTAAGTGTCATAGAAAATTGTGATGTCTGGGTTGAAAAATAAGTCTGGCTGAATGTTTACTTTGGTTTAACAAATTATCATATTACTAAACCCATCAGACGCCAGGTGTGTTGTACGGTACCCGTGTGATCAGGCTTCTCAGCGATCCTGCTGGCCACAAAGCCTCCTCGGCATTCGAGTAGTTTGATTTCTGGATGGCTGAGGCCGCATTCCTCTGAATCTTCATCAGCTGGTTTGACATAACCTCCGGGTCTGCCGGCAAGACGTTTCATGTCTGATGAGTTGCTCCTCTGATGGACTTTTGCAGTTTTGCAAAGAAAGTCCGACCTTGGAAAGGATGGTTCATGTTCTACTGACCCAGTTTGGCAGAACTGTCACAGCTAGCTGGAATTGAATTTTTAAGGAAGTGTTACCTCTTTTGTAATGTTTGTTGTTTACAAATTTTGGCAAATCAGAATCTAACAAGTGTAATGGGTTTTTACCAAGAGTCCTCAGACATCACTCCTTCCTCAGTCATTTATTAATATAGTAATATTAATACAGGGTTCTCGCTGAGTCTTAAAAAGTCTTGAAAACATTGAATTTAGGAATTTAAAAATAATATCTTAAAAAGTCTTTTAAAAGTCTTGAATTTTGACAGCTGGGTATTAAAATTTGTGCTTCATTTGTCCTCGAAAGTTTAATTTGTCAACCACAATCACTTTGTATTAAATAACGTAGCATAAATAAGGAGTGGCGGAACCAATAATTGAGAAAGCAGAGCAGCCTGGGGTCAAAATACTCCGAACACGCGATGTATTCAGCTCAGCAGCGATAGAAAACGGTAAACATAACACAGACCACACACACCTCCAGCAGAGGAGAAATGAGAAACTCTTAGCTGAGAGAACGGCTGACTGACGCAGATGACTGATCCAGAGTCACGTTATGAGTGGCGGAGCGGCATCTCCTGCAATTTGTGGATAAAAATACAAAAAAAAAACTCAAACATTTGGGTGCATTTTGCTACAGTAAGCAGCAGCTAAATGCAACGCCAGCGAGAAGATAAGCGCCGCGAAAATCAGGAATAGCAGAAATTTAACAAAACACCTTGTTGTACAGTGCATCATCTTCAGAGCTGAAACATGGAAAGTCTTTGACTGCAACAAAGTAAACCCGAGTCTATCACCTTCCAAGCACTGGAGGAGTCTGAGGATGGAGGCTGATAAAAGCAGAAATAGGACATAAATCCAACTTAGCTGCTGTTTATCAGCATTATAAATGCAGCTCAGCAGGGTTGTTATTACTGCTGTTACTCACATGAAGTCAAGCATTAATGAAGACTATTTTTATACATATATTTGTGCCTTTACTGTTTGCACTGTACCTTTGCTCTGTTTTTGCTTAATTTTTTGAAATAAATTATAATAAAAATTAATATAACATAAAATAAACAATAAGAAAAAAACCTTTAAGTGGTTTGTTATCCTCTCTTAAAATGAAAATATGTAGATTTCAACAAACGTATCGATAAGGTATTGCCATCAAAAACCAGGTATTGTTAAAGTAGTAGTATCAAGAAGTATCTACTGACGCTGTTATATTTTAAACGTGTTTTAAGTTACCTAGCTACCTTTTCTGTGAACGCTCAAACCGCTCTTCTACTGTACTCTACCGAGTGTTTGGCAGAATATAATAAAAAAGAAAGATGAATAAATTAACACAAGTTCAAGGATTTATTTATTTTTTTGCCAGAAGGGATGTGAAATAGTTATTCATTTTTTATATTAGTGGTCATGAAAAGGTCTTACAGTCTTGAATTTAACTTGATGAAACCTGTAGGAACCCTGTAATATGTAACTGTACTGATAATAAATCATTATTAAATTCAACAAGTAGACTCATTTGGTGTATTTAAGATCTAAAATGAAGCATTATTTCCAGAATAAACAAGTATGGTGATTTATTCATTACTGTGATGCAGTCAAGGCATTATTAAAACACTTCAGATAAAACTGTCACATTGCAGGTTAGGAGGAGGTTAGGACCCAAGATGCAGAAAACCCCAGATGACACGAGGCAGGAGCGGTTTAAAAGTAAAATCCTTTTATTTAGGATGAGGAACCAAAAAATCCCAAAAAGGGCAGGAAGCCAAAAACCAAAGTCCTGAACACCAGGAGAACGAAAGCTCACATAGAGCACAATCCAAGAGACGAGGCACAAAAACTCACATAGAGCACAAAACAACGCTGACACAAAACAATGGGCCGACAACAGACAGAGACAAAGACAGGGTTAAATACACTGGGGCATGATGGGAGGCAGATGGGCTGCAGGTGTGTGGGGAGAGAAACCAGGTGAAAGCAATTAACTAATCAGGGAGGAAACTAGCATGACCTAAGAGTAAAACAAGAAAAGCAGCAACATAACTAATATTCTAAGGGGAAGGAAAACTACAAACACCGGTGGGAAAAAACACACTAAAGAGACTAATAAAATGAAAAGCTGAAACTATAAGAACTGCAGAGGGGTGACTGGGGAAGGTTGAAGGAACACAGGACCTGGGAGAGATGATCTGGAGGGCTGTAGATCTGGGAACACAGAAAGAGAAACTACAGGGGCGTGACTAAGGAGGACCACGGGGAGCACAGGACCTGGAGGGAGGTACCTGGGGGGGGAGGAAAACCTAGAGGGGCTGCAGCTCTGGGAACACATGAGGAAGACCTAGACAAAGACGCAAGAGGGCGCTAGAATACACAACAGGAGAACCTAGAGACGAATGGAGAACACAAGGAGACACATGAGGGGAGATGCAAACACAGACCATGACAAAAACATTCATTGTTAATGTAATAGTTCTTAACCTGTAAAGTAAAGAAATCATTTTATGAGCCAGAATAAAATATTTTAATTAAAAGGGAGTTTGATAAAAGTATTGTCTCCTGTAAAGATGTCCTGTGAGGCGACCTTGGCATGGATAGGATACAGATTCATCAGGAGATATTTCATTACCGCTTCCTCCTGATATGATATGATATGATCCACCTGTCATGGGTGTCACACTGATGAACCAGGCTGTGGACAAATACATGGCCTTCGTCTATGTTACACCTTCAACCAACGTTTGAGTTGATGGTCATGTTGACCACTCCCTTATTGGGTTCCAGACTGGCCTTTACAGAAAGAGCTTTTTTTTTTACACAAGTGAAGATGGCTGAATCATCGGCATACATGAAATTTGACATTGCCACATGAACTTGACAGGTCACTGATCTATAGAAACAGTTTTGACCCCTGAGGTAGGCCGAATGGAATGTCTCACAAGATCTTTAAAATCAGTCCATTTCGTGACGTTACACCGCCTTGTTTTCTGTACCCCCTCAGAGCATCTTTGCTCAGTTCCAGTACAGCAGTGAGAAAGTTTTACCATCTGACGCCCTCCGCAGCGCCCTCGCCAAAACCTTCCAGGACGAGCAGCGCTTCCAGCTCGGCATCATGGATGACGCTGCGGAATGCTTTGTGAGGTCACAAACACAAACGAAGAGCAGCTCACTGAGTTGTCGGAGCTTTATTCGCGTTGTATTATTTCACAGGAAAACATCCTGATGAGGATCCACTTTCACATCACAGATGAGACCAACGAGGACATCTGCACAGCCAGACACTGCATCCCCCACCAGAAGTTTGCCATGACGCTCTTTGAGCAGGTGAGACTGAGGTTCACCTTACAAAGGCCGTCTGGTCCCACTTCAGAGTTTATACCTGTGTGTGTTTGTCTGTCTCAGTGTCTCTGTAGCAGCTGTGGGGCGTCGTCAGACCCACTGCCCTTCATTCAGATGGTCCATTACATCTCCACCACCTCTCTGTGGTAAGTGTCTATCTTTAGCAGCTGACTCGGAGTTAGAAAGTTCAGGCCACGCCTCTTCTCCCTCTGGTTGCTAGGAAACGCATTAGAGTCACCCAGACAACCAATATGTTGGCTGCTGGTACCTGAGGTGTATTTGCTGCTCAGACAAAAAACTCTGATGGATGTAGCTGCAGGAGGACGTGCCGATGTCGTGATGACATTAATCATCCAGACACGTCCTCCACATGCCTGTTGATCAAACTGACGTTGTTCTTGACACATTTGAAACAGCACAAGTTGACCAAAGTTAACAAAATATAATTACTATAAATGTTTATGAAGAAACAAAGGGCAGTAAGGTAGAATAAAGGCACCAAAATATTTCAGCTTAAACTCTAAAAACTCCAAAGCTTTCAAATATAAACACGCCCATAAGTGTAGCTCAGCTGAAGTTACACATCTCCACTATCTTCTGGTGTATAGTAGTAACTTCATGAGGGATCATATTTGTGGCTGTGGCTCGTTGAATTCAGCAATGACGCGTGTCGCAATATTGCGACTTTGGCGCTTAAAGGGTTAAGACGTAGATGTGAGTTTTATGCAGTGAAATTAAATTGTCCCAAAAAATTGTAGAATTGTGTTGACCTACTTAACCCTTTAGAACCCAAACCCCTTTGAATTAGAAAACAGATTAGAATAAATACATAAAAATGTTGTAAAAATCATATGTATGGATGGAATGTCACTTGAATATCTGACACAAGAAGCAATTTAGCAAATGTTTGAAATGGGTTGTGACACCAGTGTCACCTCGGGTCCTTAAGGGGTTAAAAAGAAATTGAAAAAAGGGAAACAGTTTGAAACATCTGAGATTCTGGAAGCATAGAAGGTCTGAGTGTATATTTTTCTACCAGGGGTGTCAAACCCTGTCCTGGAGATCGCTGGTCAGCATGTTTTAGGCCCAGTCCCAGTACCCACACCTCAGCCTACGCTCCTCTGCAGAGTCCCCTTAGTGGAACTGTGTGTAGGGCTTTGAGTGCGCTCTAAGTAAGTGTTAAAATACCTGCACAATTGGGACAGTGAGTGTTGCGTCATCAACTGAGGCTTCCTAAATAAGGATGTTGTCCGTGACTTCAAATGGCGTTTTTCTTTTTGGACTCTGGTTGTTTGTCCTAAAGTTGAAGTGGTAGCAGCCGGCTGTTTCACCTTCTCTGAAATTATTGAGTGGAGAACCTCTCACACCAGTGGTGTTCTGTTGATAAATACGTGAGTGTGTAATGAATGGAGGACTCGGGGAAGTGTGGCTGTTTGATGAGACAGACAACTGGCTGGTCTAGTGGTTGCTTTCAGTCTGAAACTTATTGGTGGTGGTTTTTAGACAAATGTGAGAGAACCAGTTCTTTCATTTTCATTACACAACATTTTTGTAGCTATACTATGTTAGAACATTGTTAAGAGGCATGAACAAACGTTTGAAGCTAATTTGTTTTCCAAATTTGCCTTTGTAGCTTTAAAAACACAAGGGCCCAGCGAGAAGGAGAGTTGTAGTTTTGTTTTAACAACAGTGAAGTTAAGCAGACACTGGGGTGCTCAAAGCAATCATAAATGTAACGTTTCCCTTTAAAAGGAACCCAGGTTACAAAACTTTGTGGTTCTTAAAAGATAAATGTTAGTATCAGTTATATGAAAATGGTGTAAAAAAAACCTTCTTAATGTCTTCATTTTTGTAAAAATTCAAAAAAAATTTAAACTTGTAGGTCGCAATTATTATCGTCGCAATACACTCTGGGTAGTGACATCATATGGTTGTACCTCGGTTGCACCGGCCGGCTTTGGGACCCTGTAGTGACTGTTCAGCAACATCAACATGTCATCTGTTCAGCCTTTTCACTTTGAACCAGAGTGAAACATTAATGAGGACATCACTGACGATGTTTCACAAAACGAGCATCAAAATGAAGAGCAAGAAGGGCGGGATGAAGTGAGAGCAGGACAAAACCGGTGGTGTGTGTGTGCAGCAAATGTGTCTCCATGGTAACAAAGAGGGAGAGTGTTTGTTGTAAAGAGCTCATGTTTTTGTCAGCAGAAGTTAACGGTAAACTATCGTGCGGTAAAACTTATTCACTTATGAATGATTTTGGAGAATTTTAGCATCCAGGGCTGTCATGTGCTTTATAGATGATATTCAGTGAAACCACTTTAATAATTTTTGCAGATATTACTGTATATATTTGGAGAACACTGTGTTGCTACACTTACAGCTTGTTTTACTGGCGGGAGAGGTGAATGTTCAGCTTCATCCGTGACGAGTGGCGTGTCTGATGGTTCGCTGAATGTGACAGGAGCAGCAGCTGCAGAAGCGGGTTGTCGGCTCAGGAGAGCGTCCAGCGTCTCTTGTCTCTGCGAGGGCGTTTAGGCTCCTTGTGTAGGAAAATGGTCGGTAAAGCATTTAGTTTCCGCATTCTCTTATACCCAGCCGCTCTGGTGATCTCTTTAAGTAGTTGTGGTCGACTATAAGCCTCAAACGCATCAAGAGAAAAATGTTGGGAACACAGCCGCAGATCTTTGGGAAGTTGTGTCCATCCACAGGCATCTTCACACTGCTTTCTCCTCTTCTTGCCAGTGGGAAAGCTGTGTAAAGCCTGATTTATGCTTCTCCGTCTGCGTCAGTGCGGAGACATGCAACGCCATTATCCGTCCTTGAGTAGGGATCCGGCAGGCACGCAAGTACGTACGGAGTCGAGCCCACTTTTTAAACATCCGTCGAACGAGACGGATTACGCAAGCTTATGATTGGTCAGGACGCCACTGTTGTTTACAGCGCCGCCATTGCAAAGAGAGCCGAGTTTAACTAGCAGCAGACACGGAGAAGCTTGAAGAATACCTCGCGAAAAAACTCTAAAAATATGAACCCGTGACTGGAGGAGTGAAAAGATGCGCAGCAAGCGTTTTATTTGTGGACAGAAATGACAGGAAACGTGGGTTTAGAGGTGGGGAGCGCATGAAGCGGTGGGAGAATGAGAGACAAATATGTCCGTGTTAAAATTCTCTTATATACACAAAAAACACAATATAAACACACTATCTTGGACCGATACATGACAGGATACCACAGAACAGCGCTACGCCCTCTGTTGTCCTGCCGGGTAATTGCTTTGCAACACTCTCCAGGAGACGGAGAAGTAAAAGAGCAAAACGCTTCCGTCAATCCGTGCGTGTCTGTCCCTTGCGGAGCTGACGGAGAAGCATGAATCAGGCTTAAACTCACATCACTCCCCTTGTTGCCCCCTGACTGGAAATTACATCCAGAAGCAGCACAACGCGGCATTTTACTTCATTATTAATACGGTGAGTGCGTAAACAAACACTAGCGTCAATAGCTATTCTTCCAAGTGCAACCAATATACGTCATCGCCCCCAGAGTGCATTGCGTGTGGAAAATATGGCGTCCTACGTATGTCAAAAATGAATTAAATATTATAGATTTATAAATAAACAGTAATGTTTTGTGTGTTTCTAACAACATAGTTTGGTACATCAGAAAACTTGTGGCTTATTCAGGCATACACGTCCTCATAGCTAGAGTTCCTTTTAAGAACAATTTTTAAGAATAGACCCTGAAGTAACTTAAGGCGCTCACACGTTAGCGTCGGCGCGGTCTGCGTTTGGTCGGGCTGGATGGAGTGAGTTTGGGCTGGTACGGGCGGTGTAGTGTTCACATATAAATCCGAGGGACTTCTCAGGAATGCGGAAATCCTCGAGCCTGTGGGCGGCGCTTAATACACGCTGGAAAGATCGCTCCATAAGGTGAACAAAAGGCGGACATGAGCTGTGTTGCTTTTGGAGACTCTGAACCACATTATTTTATTAATTTGCTGTGTGTGTCCTCATAATCTTGTGCCACACACACACACACTGATTTCTCCTCTGAGCACCTGTCTGCTCACCAGGTCAAGAGCTCCGATGTGGAGAACAGGTGCGCGCGCACACACACACACACATACACACAGATTTCTCCCCCGAGCAGCTGTCTGTTTGCCTGGGGAAGAGCTCCAATGTGGAGAATAGGAGCACGCGCGCACACACACACACACACACACACACAAAGCTATTCTTTTCTGCTGTTCCCACACTTATCGGCAGCTCCGGATCGGCAGCTCCGTGCTACAGACAGAAGTTTACTCAACAGCATGAAAATGAACCGCGCATGCGGGAAACCCCCCGCTGGTTTATTTGTCTCGCAGATCAGCGACAGTAGGCATAATTTCAGCCGGCCAATCGGTCGTAGTGTCGCCTCAGTCCCAGTCTGGACGCTGGGGAGAAGGTCTGAGAAAAACAGTCGCCTCGGCACCGAGAATGCAAATCGGACCTGTGTGTGAAACCAAATCCCAGTGCTGTTCAGTAACGTATGGGCCCATGCCGACGTTAATGTGTAAGCACCAATAGTGAAAATCATTGGACCCAACAGAACCTTGACGAAGCCCACACTAAGAGGGGCTGGGGCTTCTATAAAGACACAACAGTAATCTTTAAACCACTCTTCCTCAGTAACCAGGCTGTGAAAATGTTGGAGTCGAGGGAAAAGGCAACTCCTAGTATGTTTGGGGAGCTGCTCCGCAACGCCAGCATGGGAGACCTGCGCAGCTGTCCTGTAAGAGTGCGAAAAACTCAGGTGAACATCCACTGGTTCCAGACCTTCATATCTAAGAGCTTCCCTCTCTTCCTCAGAGTCAGTGTGGTCAGCAGCTCCGTATGGCCCGTGTTCTCCTCAACAGTCCAGAGATCATCACCATCGGTCTGGTCTGGGACTCTGACCACTCAGACCTGGCTGAGGATGTCATCCACACTCTGGGGACCTGCCTGCGCCTCGGAGATGTAAGACACGGGACCTGAACCAGAAATAATCTGAGTGTCATCCGCAAATGTGATGAGCTGAACTTTTGTCTCTGCAGCTATTTTACCGGGTGACGGAGGAAAAAGCTCGGCAGTCGGAACTTTACCTGGTGGGGATGGTCTGTTACTACGGGAAACATTACTCCACCTTCTTCTTCCAGACTAACATCAGGCGATGGATGTACTTTGATGATGCACATGTGAAGGAGGTACGCTCTAAACCAGATCACCCTGTTGTAATGTTGTTGATCAGGAACGCACCAAAAATTAGGCCACCAAAATTTTCCGTCCGAAAGTGACCCAAAAATTAATTTATCAGTTTTTGGCAAAAGACCTAAGTCAACAAAACAACACAGCCGAAACAGGCTGTCAGGTAAACCCTGTTTTTGTTTTATCTCACTCTGACCTTATGTGGCTCCTTGCTTTTTGTTTCATTAAAAAGTAGTACATTCATACTGATTTCATTTTATGCTGTTTTATTACAATTGTTTTAATTTGGGACCAGGTTGTTTTGAGCATAACGAGAAATGAGTGAAGCGGCTTTCATGAGATTGCATTAAACAATCAATATGGTGCATGCATTTAGTAAACAGAAATCAGAAACTTCAGAATTCATGAACAAAAACGATTTTATGCAAACTTGGAGCTGCAACAAAAGCAAAGTACCACTTTGTCCTCACCGCTTCTCTCCAAATCCATGTTGTCTGCGCGAGCACTGACAGCGAGACTGTTCAATGTTAAAATATTTTTTTCCACTTTGTAGCCTACTGCAACGTATGGAGATGAAGTTGTGTGGTTGTAACCCTAACACTTATTTATCCATAAAACCCTGATTAACCTAATTGGTTAATTAGATTACAGGCTTGTCTTGAAGACATAAAAAATTGGATGTCTTCAAACTTTCTGCTTTTAAATCGAGACAAAACTGAAGTCCTCATCTTTGGACCGGAACTTCAGAAAAGGAAGCTTCAGCTTCTCCAAAATAATGCAGATAGAGTTCTGATGACAATTAAAAAGAGAGATCACATCTCTCTTGTATTAGCTTCCCAGCATTGGTTGCCTGTTAAAGGTTGACTATGGAACACGGACAATCTGGCGAACTCTGGTGTTCAGAGGTGGTATTGCAAAAACAGGACTAATTTTACAGCCACTGGGATGTTGGTTCTCTGCTGACATGTTCCAGCACCGTGTTCAGAGACAAATCGTACAGGATAAGAACTAATTTCCACTAATATGATTATTTTACAACAGTATTTACCAGAACATCTTCTGGGCTCTGAATCAGCTACTTGACTTGTCAAGTCTGCCACATCACTCCGCTTCTCCTCCAGCTTCACTGGCTGCCAGTCAACTTCAGGGTTCATTTCAAGATCCTGGTTCTGGTCTATAGGGCCTTACATGGACAAGCACCATCTTACATTGGTGATCTTCTTAGTCCCTACACCCCCAGCAGGTCCCTGAGGTTCAGTGATCAAAGCCTACTGGTTGTGCAGCGCACCAGGCTAAAGACCAAAGGTGACAGATCATTTGCTGCTGTGGCCTCCAGACTCTGGAACTCTCTCCCCCTGAGCCTGAGATCAGTGGACTCAGTGGTCTCCTTTAAAAAGCAGCTGAAGACTCACTTGTTCAAGCTGGCTTTTGTATGACCTTCTTCACCACTCTCTTTATTCTGCTCTCCCCACCTATTCCACCTTCCTCAGGATCCACTGATTTCCCTCTTTCCTATTCACTCTCTCTCTTTCGTAACATTTTTTAAATCACAATTGTCTATTTTAGGCTCATTTTAAATATATTTTTAATCATTTTCTTAATTCTTTTTTATATTTTTACATTTTTTTTTGTTTTTTTTTTTTGTTTTTGTGAAGCGCCTAGTGACTTCTTCTTCTTGTTCTTCTTCTTCTTCACACAGTCTCAACCTTGCCTTGCTGAGTGGACTTTTTAGCACAACAATTTTCACATGAAAATTGAGCTTCATTTTTCAGAAGACACAGAAATAAAATTACAGGGTTCAGCTGGATCTCTATGTCTGGAGGTGTTTTTACGCTCCTGTTCCTGTGGGGTCTGCTGCAATATGTCTGGCCTTCTTCTGGATCTCTCCATAGTACACTGAGTCCAGGTCTGTAGGGCTGCAACAAACGATTATTTGGATAATCGATGAATCGGATGGGGTCTCGACACGATTAATCGATTAATCGGATTACATGGGGAAATTTTTTTAAACTGCTAGGGAAACGTTATTTCTCTCCTTCCTTCACTTTATTTAACACAACATTATTAGAAAACAGTTCAATAGCAGAAAAACAACATGCCATCACCTAAATTGTCTTATAAGGTGTATAGACAGAGACCCTAAGCTACATCTATCTGTGACCTAAAATGCTTGGTCCAATTAAACAGCTTAAGGGCAATTCTCATCTGTTTTGTTTGATCTCATCTGTAGACATTTATTATAACTGGGGATGTCAAACAACTAATTTTTAAATGTAATTAAACATAGGCTGTGAATTAATCAAAATTGATCACTATTTCCAAAAATGACGCAAGTTTAGAAAAGAAGCAGATGAGACAGCATGTCTGATAATTTAGTTTTCCATCTGATAATATTAGAACATGTCAGTAATGCCCGAGGGGCTTTTATAAACACTGTATAACTAACACTACTGGATAGGGTATGAATTACACAGAGGCTTCTGGGGAGCCCAGTTATGGGGGGGCATTTTGCCTTGGCCCCCAAAATGACTTGAAACGGCCCTGGGTGTGTGACTGAGTTTTGAAGGTGACCTGAATAGTATCAAATTTATAAATATTACATGTGTGTAACTTATTGTTTTATACAGGTAAAAACGTGTAGTGGAGGTAAATCTACCTACATTTTACTTTTCAACACTTTGTTTTGTTTTGTTTTTATTGAACTATTTTCCTGTCCTGTCTGTCTCTCATCTTCCTGCATCTCCTCTTAATTCTCCAGAAAAACTGCTGCCTGGATTCTTACTTTTTCACCTCATCAGTTACTTCTGAGCAGATCAAAGGGATCTCCTGACCGCAAAGCGCAGAGCGCGTTTTCGATGCTGCGTGAGGTGAAATCACCGCAGCACAGGTGATGAGCTCCGCAGTAGCAGAGCGCTGCAGGCACAAATAAGACAGAAAGTAGAGAACATGTGCAGACATGAACGATCGTGTGCTAATTATAGTTTTTTGGTTGCGCCACTTTGAGAATGGACCGTGCGCTGGACGCAGCTGCCTGGAACGCTGCGCAAAAATGCGCTGTGCCGCTCTCTGCTCAGAAGAGTCCAAAAATGATATAATATAGAAAACTTTTTCCGGCTCCCCTGGATGTGTAGGATATACAGCTCCCCCATAATTCGATCCCTGCTCCTGGATGAAAAGCCGGACATTTTCATCAATACAAGAACCCGCAGTCCGGACGCGCCGGACAGAGAGTGAAAAGTGGACACGTCCGGGGAAAACGGAACGTACGGTCACCATAGTCCTCATAAAGCGGGAAATTATAGATACAGTATTTTGCTCATGCCCTGGGCCCTTTAGAGTTCGTGGGCCCTGGGCAATTGCCCAGTTAATCCGGCCTTGGGCGGAACCGGTTCGCAGCAGCGCGAGTCCCCCCGCTCATCTAATAAGCGTCGCGCTCACGACTTTAGACTCTTTTTTTTACGAGCTTAGGGCATGTCTAGCCTGTGTAATAATCCGGGACTTGGATGAATCACTATTGAAAAGTTTTTAATTTACCCGGACACAGAGTTCTCTCCTTCCTCGCTGATGATCCCGACATGCTTGCGTTTAAGACGCTGCATCATCCCGTGCCATGCCAAGTCTGACCTAAACGTTGCAGGTAACGCATGTCTTCGCCTGATTTAACTGAAAATGCTCTCAAACTTAAAAAGCTTTTACTTTTTTGACTCTCGCTGCTTCTGCCATGTTCCTCTTCCAAACAACTGCCGGCTCTCCCTCGCGCTGATCTGTCTGCGCTGAACGGCGGGCGGGAAGGGGGGGCGCTTTTGGAAGAGTTGTGCGACACAACGAATCGATGACGCAATTCGTTGCCAACGCTTTTAGTAATCGATTTTCATCGAATTTATCGATTCGTTGTTGCAGCCCTACAGGTCTGGCAGTGGACTTCCACCAATCCCCTGAGCTGTCCTCACCTTTTGGACCAAGTTGGTTTTATCTTGTGCTGAGCAGCTCCCGTACCAGACTGTCATGCTGACAGAGGATGCTCTTGAAGAAGAGCCTTTGTTGGGCTTTCTTCACCAGCTCTGATGTGTTCAGAGGCTAAGTCACATCAGACGGAATGTGGATACCAAGGAATTGGATGTTATCCTCACCCTCTAATGACACAACATGCCTGTTCTGGAAACCAGAGTACCTGGAGAAAAGCCGCACGCGCATGAGGAGAACACGCCAACTCTTCACAGGAAGGCCACACAAACCCGTGACCTTCTAGCCAACAACAACAGCGTTATTGCCTGTTACATGCAGCCTAACAGGATTTCAGACGGAGATGATGAGACGTCTGCCTGTGTCTAATAACCGCCACCGTTCATGTTCCTAATTGTTATGGAAAACCAGCAAGTTGTCATTTTAAAGACGAGGCATGTGCTCCACTTGTGGAGATTTGGTGACACCTACTGCTTTTTAGTTTTAGAAAGAGTCCACATTAAAAACATTCTCGAGTTCTGAGATGGGAAGTGGTTTTGCTCGTTTTAAGCATTTTCGTAGAGAGAGCACATTTTTTATTGATGACGACAGAAAGAACCGGGTGATTCTTCTGCCCACCTCTGCTCCTCCTTTGCTCTCATGCTGCTCCTCCCTCCATCATCGCCGCTCTCTAATAACTTCTGGAATGATACGTGTCATTCCCTTTCTTTCTGCCTGTTGTGGAAACAAGGAAATCCCTCCATTGTTCATCACTGCAACAGGACTGAATCAAGGGTGGGGCCACAGAGTGAGCGCACACACACACACACACACACACACACACCCAGCAGATTTTTTTCTATCTCGTTCTCTCCGTTGAACAAACACCCACATGTTTTTGCTCTGGATGGGTCGGCTGACTCCATGGTGGGAAGTCCTGTCAGAAGCAAGCAAAGCTTTGGAACATGGAGGAAGGGTGGAAATCATAAAACAGGAGGATTTCTTTTGCACAGAAAAGAAAAAGACTAACTAACAAAGTTAGAGAAGACCACGTATCTCCATCAGGGTGACGAAAAGGGAAGGGAGAAAACAACCTGGAGCTGGTAAAAGTCCTGGCTCATTCTTGTGATTGTAGCAGCTGGTTTGAGAGTTTCTGTCATCAGAGCTGTGATTGGTTGTTTCCTTATTGATTTTAGACAAGTTTTGATCCATGATGACTGGCCAGTCAACCTGCAGAGCTGCTCATTCTCACTTTGATGTGATTAAAAACATCGGCTGGGTTTTGTGTTGTCCTTCAGATTGGCCCCAAATGGAAGGACGTGGTGTCTCGCTGCATTAAGGGCCACTACCAACCTCTGCTGCTGCTGTACGCCGACCCTCGTGGGACGCCAGTGTCTGTGCAGGACCTGCCCTCAGGCCTCGACCTGCAGCATCTGGACCGAGCCTGCTACGACAGCGAAGACTCGGGTAACTACAACACAGCTAGGAGACGTAGTAGTAGCACAGCAGCACACGCTCAGGTAACTACAGTTGTTAAAGGAATGAGGGATCAGCTAACAGCTGGAGAAACAGTAGAAGCTTGATGAGATGTGTGTATTTGTGTGTGAGCACACCAGCGCCAACCTCCTCCCTCCCCCTTCCTTGTCAGGTCGAGAGCTGTCCATCTCCAGCGACACTCGAACGGACTCATCCACCGAGAGCTACTCTGGCCGACAGCCCTCCCACCTGCACCACGAGTCCCTGGCGAGTCACTACTCGTCTGACTCCCAGGGAACTGTCATTTGCACGGGAAGACCCGACAGAACCATTCACACCTCACTCTGCAGCCTGGATACCTTAGGTACCAGTTTAACTTTTACTAACACCGCCTACGGTTGTGTGATATTCTCTCATCATGGTGTGGCCTCTGACCTCAGAGGGGCGTGAACGTCTCAGATCTCTGCCTTACGCACTTTTACGCTGTGCCTCACTTTTGCGTTGTAATTGTCATTGTGGTGATCACCCCATAAACCATCTGTTGCCGTGCGTCTCGTTGCTAAGGCCACGTGACGGACGGTGAGCAGCACCAGTCACTGAAGAGAGGAGGTGGGTCCAGGGATAAGAGGCAGACCTCGAACCGGTCCTGGCGAACAAAACCCGACAGCGAAGCCTCATCAGCTGGTTACCACAGTGAGGGTAGGCGGGTTTGGACCAGTACAGACTCACATAATGTCTAGAAGATATAGGACTACAACAGTCACAACGTAAATCATAGTTCGTTACATGAATGTATTCCACGACGAGTGGTTTACTACAACAAATGAGAACTTTTATCAATAACTATAACCAATAAAATTTGTTCTAATTTTAGTTTTTATCAGTCAATAAATTGTTTTTGGGGAAATGAAAAATATCTTTTTTCTAAGTATAACATTTGAATCATGACCTCAAATTTTTTGTCATTCATCATAACATCATTCCTGTTGAGTTTTTTTCTATTGTCATTTATTTTCTCTCCTCCCTCATTTTGATCTATTGCTCTTTTTGTCATCCCCTAATCTTCTTCTCCATCTGACCTCTTTCCAGGAGAAACTTTAAATGAGCAGCAGGTTCCTCGTCACCTCCACAAGCTTTCCTCCTCCCTCTCCTCTACCAGTCGCCTCCGAGACTTTAAGGAGACCGTGACCAACATCATCCGGCCCCTCTCCTCCTCCTCTTCTTCCTCCCTGCCAGCTGCCTCCTCTGAAATCTCCATTTCTGGTCAGCACCTCTCTGCTGCAAATGCAGCTCTGAGCTCTTCCTCAAGTAAACTGCCAGACTGGGAGGCAGACAGCACAAGCAGCGAGTCCAAGTCCAGCTCTTCTGGAGGAGGTGTGGCAGGGAGGTACCGGCCAGCATGGAGGCCACGGAGGGAGGCCCTTAACATTGACACTATATTCTGCCGAGAGAGGCGCAGACAGGCAGGATACAGCCCCCTCGGGTGTCCCCCATCTGAAGACTCTGGAGCTCTTGACCGTGAAGGAGCAGACAAATCTTTCACAGTCCAGGAAGAGGTGATGTCTGTCAGGCCGGGCTCCTCCAAGACTCTGCCCAGCTGCTTCAGAGAAGCTAAGCTTCCTCCTCCTCCTCCCCCTCCCCCCAGGCTGATTCAGAGGATAGAGAGTGGCTACGAGAGCAGCGAGAGGAATAGCAGCAGTCCCGTCAGCCTGGACTTGACCTTGGGGTACAGGTGAGATACTCAGGAGGAATATATGAGATAATCAGGTAACATTTGGGGGGTGGGTTGTCCTGAGGCATGAAATATTCTACAGGAAGCTAACCTTTAGATTCTGGTTTAATGCACAGGAGCCTCACTTTGTGCAGAAGCCTTATTAAAAATGTGTACTTAAGCTCAGCAAACACTTATACTCACGCTAAGTCATTTTTGGACCCATGAGACTGATAAATCACACCTTGCCCAGAAATGTGCCCAGACACATTTGGATCAGGTCCTGTGTCCTTCAAACACACATTATGCCAATGTAGCGTGTTAATCTACATACTAGAATCAACACTGTTTGCTGTCAGTTGTTAGATTCTGAGAAAAGACCCAAACGAGTTAACAATGAAGCTTCTATCATATATAAATATCTAGGATATTATATATTCGATAGAAGTTCATATGCCAATGAGCTTGGTCGAATTTTAATCCAAAGATTAATGTTTAATTTAAGATAATTAAATTTAATCGCAAAAGTTTATTTATTTAGGCTTATGACCGTGTCCCCAGGGGCACCCTGTGGGGGACGCTCCAGGAGTATGGGGTGGGTGGCTTTCTGTTAAGGGCCATTCAGTCCCTTTACCAGAGGAGCGTGAGTTTGGTCCGCATAGCCGGTAGTAAGTCGGACCTGTTCCCAGTGAGGGTTGGACTCCGCCAGGGCTGCCCTTTGTCACCGGTTCTGTTCATAACCTTCATGGACAGAATTTCTAGACGCAGCCGTGGTGTGGAGTGTGTCGAGTTTGGTGGCAGGAGAATCTCGTCTCTGCTTTTTGCGGATGATGTGGTCCTCCTAGCTTCATCCAGCTCTGATCTTCAGCTCTTGCTGGGTAGGTTCGCGGCCGAGTGTGAAGCGGCTGGGATGAGGATCAGCACCTCCAAATCTGAGACCATGGTTCTCGACCGGAAAAGGGTGGCTTGCCACCTCCGGGTCGGGGGAGAGGTCCTACCTCAAGTGGAGGAGTTTAAGTATCTCGGGGTCTTGTTCAGGAGTGAGGGTAGGAGGGATCGGGAGATCGACAGGCGGATTGGTGCGGCGTCTGCAGTGATGCGGACGCTGAGCCGATCTGTCGTGGGGAAGAGGGAGCTGAGCCAGAAAGCCAGGCTCTCGATTTACCGGTCGATCTACGTCCCAATCCTCACCTATGGTCATGAGCTTTGGGTAATGACCGAAAGAACGAGATCGCGGATACAAGCGGCCGAAATGAGTTTCCTCCGTAGGGTGGCCGGGCTCAGCCTTAGAGATAGGGTGAGGAGCTCGGACATTCGGGAGGGACTCGGAGTAGAACCGCTGCTCCTCCGGATCGAAAGGAGCCAGTTGAGGTGGTTTGGGCATCTGGTCAGGATGCCTCCTGGACGCCTCCCCGGGGAGGTGTTTCGGGCATGTCCTGCCGGCAGAAGGCCCCCGGGTCGACCCAGGACACGTTGGAGAGGTTACATCTCCAATCTGGTCCGGGAACGCCTTGGGGTCCTGCCGGAGGAGCTGGTGGAGAAGGCCGGGGAGAGGACGGCCTGGAGCTCCCTAATTGGGATGCTGCCCCCGCGACCCGGACCCGGATAAGCGGAGGAAGACGAAGACGACGAAGACGAAGTTTATTTATTTAATCAGAAGTTAAAGGAATCTTTCCTTTTTCAATAACCAGAAATACACACCATTCTGTGTTTCATTTCAAAGATGAGAGTCAAGTTTTTAAAGTTAAGAAATTATTACTAACACTTTTAAAAAATGACAATTTGAAATGACAATTTTTGAACAGACAAGTTGATATTAAAACTTGTTTTGAAGGCAAACCTGTGACTGAATGAAAGCTAAATTGAAAATGCGAGTTTTGGATGCGTGAATGTTCTCAGAAGGTTTCTTCCAGAGAGAGAAGCACGTTCTGGGTTGGAAATGATGGTTTTGCAGCTAACTGAGTTGTTTCTTAGAGAGAACAGCATCAGACACAATCCGTGTGGTACCTCACCCATTCAGACGACCCTTGTGCGGAACTGGAGGTCAAAGGAGGATGTTGTCAGCCTCAGGGTACCCGGTCCGGTAGCGAAGACTCGAGTAAAACTGACTCTCTGGTCCAAAGATGTCGCAGGGTACACAGTGTCGAGCGTCTGGCTTAACTCTGAAGGAGTTTTGCGTCTTACTTCTCAAAAACAATAACTCTGAAGGAGTTTTGCGTCAGCTGGTTACAGATGCGTTTATTCAAAGCTATTCTATCGGTGTGACAGAACAGCAGGTGGAGATTCGGGCGGCCGTTCCCTCGTCTCCTCGTATGGTTCAAGAACTGAACTTTTGCTGCTGGAAATTTAGTTTTAACAAAACCCTCAGAACACGCCCACTCTCAGCCTCAGAAAGCTTGGTCATGAGTCAAAGACATGTGATGGCAGTTTAACTTTTACCCTGGATAAGCCCTCTGCGTTGGATGGATAAAATGGAGGATGACCTTCTGGTTTGCTGAACACACATAACCGATTATCACAATAATCATTATTATACCCAAAGCACAATAATTCATTTCAGTAATTAAAATACATTTACTGAACCAAGTGATTATTTATGTTGATTGTAATAATAGTAATAAAGTCAAAGAGTTTATTAAAATTATTATTTAAAATTATTATTGTGATCTTGAAGTGTCCTTCATTCTGGGACAGAACAGCAGCAGATAAAGATGATATTCAGCAGCCATCATGGCTCCTGGATTAATCTGTGGAACCAAAAGTTAGTCTGACACAGCTTGACCCAGTTGGGAAAATGTGACCTTTGTCACAAATTAGAGGCCCTTTGTGACGCTACACCAAATATATAGTCAATATAAAGTATCTTACAAATATTCTGCATATACATAAGCTGGCTTATCTGTGGAGAATCATGGGTAATTATTATGATTATTTTTTAAAGTATAGTAAAATTTTTATTTAAAAAAAATTGTAATACCGTAATTTCCGGACTATAGAGCGCACCTCAATATAAGCCGCACCACCAAAGAAAAAGGTTTTCTACACACACACACGCCGCACTCAAATACAAGCCGCGGTGCAGCAGCCATGCAGGTCTCCGGCACACAGCGCATGTACGGCCATAACATAAGATAATTAGACAGAAAGACGCTACACGGAGGTTTTTCGTTGTTGTTTTAATTCAACAAAACGAATTTTAAACACGGCCTGCAAGTTTAGAAAGGAAAACAGCACTGATAGCATTCATATTTCTGGATGGTTATAAAATAAAAACAGAACTGACATGCTATTACCGGTAATTTGCATGTTTAGAAGAAAAGAACAGCGCTGACACAGCATTAATAAGCCCTGGATGATTAGAAAATAAAAACTGCACACAAAACATGCCTGGTTAGTAAATAAAACACACTTGCCTACCAGAAAAAGTCATTCGCTCTCATCTTCCTCTTGCGCACCAAAGCCATTAAAGTCCTCTTCTTCAGTGTCGGAGTTGAAAAGCCTCAGAAGAGCTTCGTCACATACCTTTTCTGTGGCGATGTCAGCGTCGCTGTCCGTGTTGCTGTCATCATCCCCGGGTGAAGCTGGCTTGAATGAGTTCTTCCCGCTGCCGTCTCCAGCGCCGAACCATGGATTCATTCATGCCAAGCTTATGTGCGGCAGCACTGTTTCCCTCCTTCACTGCCAGATCGATGGCCTTCAACTTAAATGCGGCAACATATATACTCATACGTGTAGTTACCATGATGAGGCGGTATGGATTTGAAAAAAATTCTTCGTTGTGCCGGCTGCTTGCATGTGCTAAATTAAAATGAGCACTTTCTTCGATTTCCACTTTTGACTTCCACCTGTTTCACTTTCTGCTAAAGCGCCCCCTGGCAGGTGAAGGAAAATCTTCAGTAAAGCCGCACCTCATTATAAGCCGTATGGTTCAAAACGTGGGAAAAAAGTAGAGGCTCATAGTTTGGAAAATACGATAATTTTGAATAAATTAACATCAACCAGTCAATCTACGTTCCTACCCTCACCTATGGTCACGAGCTTTGGGTAGTGACCGAAAGAACGAGATTGCGGATACAAGCGGCTGAAATGAGTTTTCTCTGCAGGGTGGCTTGGATCTCTCTTAGAGATAGGGTGAGAAGCTCGGTCATCCGGGAGGGGCTCGGAGTAGATCCGCAGCTCCTCCACATTGAGAGGAGCCAACTGAGGTGGCTCGGGCATCTGGTCAGGATGTCTCCTGGACGCCTCCCTGGTGAGATTTTCTGGGCACGTCCAACCGGGAGGAGACCTAAAGGTAGACCCAGGAAACGTTGGAGGGACTATGTCTCTCACTTGACCAGGGAACGCCTTGGGATTCCCCCAGAAGAGCTGGCCCAAGTGGCTGGGGAGAGGGAATTCTGGGCCTCTCGACTTAGGCTACTGCCCCAGCGACCCGACTCCGGATAAGCGGATGAAGATGGATGGATAGATTAACATTGTTTGAACATCTCTTTGCTGTTGGTGGAAATCTCACATATTCAACTGATAAGTATGGGTTCAGAAGCGTTTTGTTGCTGAGGGACAAAGGAAGCTCTGCTCTGTGACAGTGGGTGTGATGAGATGTCACAGAACTACGACAGATAAGCCACGCCGTAATTTTAAATAGAAGCCATTATAGTCACTGAGAGTGGCTACATGGGGAGCACAGCACCACTTCCGAGAAGTGCCACGCCAAGGCGCTGAAGGTAGGCGCCAGTTCTATTTCAAGTACCGCAGCTGTTTACAACATTGTGGAGTACTTTACAACAGACATTACGATGCGGATCGGCTTCATGACACAAACCCAGCCTCCAGCACATACTTTAAAGTACAATTGATCTTGAAATATTCTAATAAATAGCTTGCTTACCCATTTTTAATTAGTCTCTCAAAAGACGACGGCATGTCTGATCACGTAAAAACAAGAGTCACTGTCTACTTTTTGTTCTCAAGCCCCACGTGATGTTGTCGCTATCGCTCGACTTTCCAAGAAGCACTCAGCGGAGCGGCGCATCCTGTGTGACCATTTGACTTCCCAAAACTGTGGCGCGGAGCATCTGGCTGGTGTATCCCAGGCTTAACAGTGAGACAGCATTCATGGCAAAAGTTCAGATATTGCAGCGATATGTAACAGAGTGTTAATTCTCTGTCGTTTACTGGGTTTTTTATGTATAAAGGGAGGATGAGAAGGATGAATGTCCAGCAGACAACTTAGCTAGAAGACGGGAAAATGAGACCCACAGCCAGAGTCCGACGCCATTGTGAGGGTTTTGAAAACGATCCTTCCTTTCTGAGGAAGATGAGCTAGGTCATGAGCTTAAACTAAAAAGAAGTGTTAACGACAGCGCTTTTTAAAATCTTTTCAGCTTTGTTAGCGGTCTGTTTAGTGACGTATGTTTCGGGAAGGTGCGCTCATGACGTGGCGTGTCCTGCTAGAACGAGACGTTGTGCAGTCTGCCTGACTGACATCTTGTGTCGTACAGTGTGCCACTTTTCTGGAGTTCTCACTGTGTGACATGAACAATCCTGTGGGATGGTCAAAAATCGCTCAATGTGACCCCGGCATTGTAGACATATTGTGTCGACTTTTACTTTGACAGATGTCCAGCAGTGGAAGTAACGTATTTTGATGCCCATTCTGATTGGTTGGTGAAATGCTACAGTAACCCACACTAAGACGTTTTTGTAGCCCAAGCCGAAAGCCCCACAGCTTGCCGGACCCTGCTTAAACCTCATCGGCTGGCTCCTCTAAAGTGGCAGGCTCCTCTCCCGCGTTTCCATGCTCTTCACCCTATCTTTAAGGCCGAGGCCAGCAGAGTAAACTCATTTCAACCGTTAACTCATTCACTGCCGGCGGTTTCCTGATCGCTAACGGCCTTCGCTGCCAGCGTTTCTCACTGTTTTTACTGTTTTTTTAAGAGTCACAGAACGTTGCGTGCTAGGATGATGTCGACGCCAAAACAACCAAAACAATGAGGAGACTCACCTCTTACATCAGGAAGAATCCGCGTGTTTCGAGCGTTATCCGTTCTTTCATAATCCGTTGTCGAATTGTGATCAGCAGACGCTTTTCTGGTTCGCACCTCACTTTTTTTTTACGGGAACGGCCCAAAACAATCTCCAAACACATGAATGTTCTGCTTCCTGATCATGTGACGTGTGACGTATGCGGATGAAGATCGGCTTCAGGGCTGAGATGTTTGTTCTCTCAGCGCGGGGGCTCGTTCCGACTTTCAAACAGTAAAAAAATGCCAATGACGACTTCAGTCGTCATTGGCATTGAACGGTTGGATCTAAAATGATGACTTTAGTCGTCAATGGCAGTGAATGAGTTAATATTCACGAATTTGTTCTTTTGGTAATTTTTCAACACTCACAACCATAGGTCAGGGTTAGGATGGAGATCGCCCTTTTAATTGAGAGCTTTCTGATTTAGAACCCTCTTCACCACCACACAAAGTTTTAGAGTCTTCCACTGATCAGCATCAAAAAGCGTCCACAGTAACATTAATGGAATTAAAAGCATTTGTTCTGTCGAAGTAAAGCATAATTTAATCCATTCAGAGGACGTGAGCAGCTGTGTGAAGCTAAATGTGGTGTTCAATAACCAGAAGTGTCATTTTTTACAGTGCTCCGAACCACGACAAAGCCACGTTAATTAAGTCGTCTTGGGGAAATGATCTGTTTTTCCGGATCAAAGAAACGGTTTCATTTAAAACAGAAATGTAAAGGACAGCTAAAACAGTTTGAAATACATTAGGTTTGCAAATGCATTTACTTGGATAGAATTTTAAAATGTATTTCAGGGTTAATGAGAGAAAATCCACACAGACCCAATGCAGAATAGTGTGTAAAGTTGGGCTCTAACTTCATTTTGAACAACCAATTGTCTTCTCTCTTAGGGAGTTCGCTGTGAAGAAGCCTTTGTCCTCCTCCTACTCTTCGTCAGGGCCGTCCTGGAAGAACATCAGGTCCAAGAGCAGTGCCTCGTTGCTGCAGGAGCTCAACTTGTCTAACATGGAGAGCTCTGGTACAGAACCTAAATATGAAACCAAAAAAAGTTTATTTTTAATAACATACCACAAAATATTTTCCAATATTCGTGATCTGATCAATCTAAACATCTGCAGGGAAATTTTGACCCTTTATGGGGGCCATATCATGGAAAATCTACTTTTTGGAGCTTTTTAGTATGTAATGTTTCCTCTTGATAAATACCCCCAAACCCATTGTCGGCTGCATTCATGTGTTTTCCTGTTTCAGCTGAAAAATTTATTTTGCAATTCCTGAAATGGCCTGATGTCTAAGTTGTACTTCACTCCATCTTGCTGCTCCCAACACCAGGCCCTGCTCCTCCCCAGAAGCTAGTCTCTGGTCTGAAACTTGTCTTCACTGGCTAGCTCAGGATACCTGGCATAGGTGACAAGCGTCACATAATAGACTAGGTAGTCTAGTGGTAAGTGTGCTGGGCTGAGTTTTGTGCAGGTTCACGTCGCAGTCGCTGCAGTAATGTTTTTCTTCCTTTTAGCTGCACTTACCAGCATGATTTCTATCCTTTATTGGTAAACTATTTACAAGTAAGGACTAATCTGTTTTTACTTGCTTTGTTAATTAGCCAGTGTGAGTCCATGTGAGGTGAGCAGAGGAAATGCACTAAAAGGCTGTTCAGAAATGACCAAATTCAAAGCTCTTTAGAGACATGAATCATTTTGCAGAAAATAATCAATAAAACCAAAATATAAAAACACAAAATCTGCTTTAGGTGGCTAAATAAATTACTGCCGACATCATCAGGATTCAAACCCACATCAGCACAGCAAAACTGAGATGGAAGGCAATCACTGTAACCACTGGACTACCATAGCCAATACAACAAGTGACTTGCCTGAGACGCTGTTCCTTTTTTCAGAGCGGGTGTGGGCAAAGTTACACTGAATCAGACCATTTAATATTTGTTTTAAATTCAGGCTGATGAGAATAACGGACATCTCATTAGTGCCGATGTCGGTACAAGATCGGCTCGGGGTCCTTCAACTGCCGATGACGTCACATTACTGCAAATCTACTCGGCTTTCACACATACGTTTTGGAAAGACATCAGCAGTTTTGTTAATAAGTTCTTGTTTGTTAACACCTAAATGTTTTCTTTATACATGTAATTTGTTAATAAAACACCATATTATCTTTGTTTTGTAAAGAATGTAAAACTGCATAAAACGAACATCGGACTGACAAAAAAATAGAACAGTTCCTATATGTGAAGTTTAGTTGTTATCTAAATACATTATTTGATTCAAAATGTTGCTTGTTGTTTTTCAATAAAGTTCTTATATTTTATTTTGCCCCATTTCATCAACAACAAGAGCTTTTGAGCGTCACCGTTTATCATTAGCTTATATTTTACATTTCCTTTGGAAATTCAAACATTTTCTCCAAAAAGTGTTGATTTTTGGACTACAGGACTAAACCGCTAAGACTACGACCGCAAATTTGTTCTGACCAATCAAAATCATAACGTGATAACGTCACTTCCGTAAGCTTCATGTTCAGCCAATCAACTACTTTGACATCATCTGCAGTCGAAGGACCCCGAGCCGATCCTGCACCCGACCCGACCCTGTACCGACACCGACAGTAATATTTTATCATATACTGTGCCTACCTTTGTTCTCGAAGGTTTAAAATAGCATGGTCAGGGACCTTTAAATTCTGCTTCAAGCAATTTGTAATTTGTTTCTCTGCCGTCAATCCAGCTCCCTCTGCTGGACGTAGTGAGCTGGATGAGCTGCAGGAGGAGGTTCTTAGGAGAGCAAGGGTGGAGGAGCAGCAGCGACAGCAGGAAAAGGAGAGGGAAGCGGCGCTTGGCTTCAACCCAAGACCCAGCAAGTACCTGGACCTGGACCAGCTGCAGATCCAAGGTACCAGAACTGTCTCAGGACCGAACAGAGACGTTGGTGGACTTGTGTGAGTGGGTGTATGTGTGTGTCTGTTTGTGTGTGTCTGTTTGTGCGTGCCTGTGCATGTGTGTTTGTGTTTGAGAATGTGTCTGTACACGTGTGTGTGCATGCCTGTGTGTTTGTGTCTGTGCACATGTGTGCATGCGCATATGTGGGTGTATGCATGCGCATATGTGGGTGTATGTGTGTGTGTGTGTGTGTGTGTGTGTGTGTGTGTGTGTGTGTGTGTGTGTGTGTGTGTGTGTGTGAGAGAGAGTCAGCAGATGTGTTGAACAGCAGGAATGTTCTTGATTGATTGAAACACAAAGGAAGTGATGAACAAACAGCAACACAGCTACTGTCGCCAAATGCAGCCATTGTTACTAACTCTGTGTGTGTGTGTGTGTGTGTGTGCGTGCGTGCATGTGTGTGTGTAGGTAAAAGTGATAGCTTTGACAGGTGTGTGTCGGAAGCAGAGCTCTTGCTGGACCAATCATTACGTTTGGAGCAGGCGGGTGAAGTTGCAGCGGCGCTGTCGGCCGTCAACGAAGCTGTCTGTAAGCTCCTCCCACTCACAGTGACTCCTCCTCTTCATGCTCAACAAAAACACTATAACACAGACACCAAATAAAAGGGGACATCATACATTTCTTTGAATATTTAAACTTAGTGTGGGTCATTAGATCTGTCAGTCCCACAGTTTAGTCTATTGGTGTTGTTTTTGAATGTTTTTACTGTTTTGAAGGGTCACAGAACGTTGCGCTCTATGATGATGTCAATGCCAAAACTACCAAAACAAAGAGGAGGCTCGCCTCTTACATCAGGAAGAATCCGCGTGATTTGAGTGTTATCCGTTCTTTCATAATCCGTTGTTGAAATGTGATTGGCAGAAGCTTTTCCGGTTCGCGCCTCACTTTTTTTCACAGCTGCGGCCCAAAACGATCTCCTAACACATAGATTTTCTGCTTCCTGATCACATGACATGTGACGTACCCTGATGAAGATCGGCTTTAGAGCCGTGATGTTGGTTCTCGCTGTGCAGGGGATCGTTCCGATGCCTGCCCAGTAAAACAATGCCAATGGCGACTTTTGTCGTCATTGGCAGTAAATGAGTTAATAAACTCTCTACATTCATCACTTCATTGTTTTAAAAAAATATAAAGAAAAGTTAAAGCAACTGTTCAGAAATAATAAAGAATCCTAGTTCTGTCACCTGGATGTTCGGTACTTAACCTATGTGTCGACGACGTTGTTTTTTCTGATCCCAAACCACTTCGTTTGAAACAAATCTGTGCAAAAACCTGGTGTCTCCTCCAGCACCGGACAGTTTTAGAAGATTGGTAAACTCCGAGACTGCCAGTCAATTTTCCTCATTATTTAATGAGATTGTGTCTTATGTACCAGACTGGACCTCTTTGGATGGGATACTAAATGATTTTAATGAGAACTGTGCAGCCATGCTTGACTCTGTTGCACCTGTAAGTCACAGGCGTGTGGGTCCTGCTGTAAAACAATGGGCTTCTAAGATCACGTGTATTGCACGGAAAGAATGTAGACAACCAGAGAGGAAATGGAAAAAGGATCATTTGCAAGTGTCTCAGATTGCATTACGGAAGAGTTGGAAATGTTATCAAGGTGCTGTTAAATCTGCAATGTTCACTTACTACTCGAATATTGTCTCTTCAAACTCAAATAACCATTGGGTACTTTAAATTTGTCCTGCGTGTAAATGACTTCTCATAATCTGTATCATCAGCTAAAGTTTGTGATGATTTTCTTAATTATTTTATAAATAAGGTTTCCACTCTGTGCCCTCGGACTGGATTTTATCTCAACTTCTTCAGTTAGTGGGGAATTTAACGCTTTTACCTCATTCATTGCCAATGACGACTAAAGTCATTATTTGCATTTTTTTACTGTGTGGGCATCGGAACGAGCCCTGCACCGTGAGAACAAACATCTCAGCTCTAAAGCCAATCTTCATCCGTGTATGTCACACGTCACGTGATCAGGAAGCAGAAAATCCATGTGTTAGGAGATCATTCTGGGCTGCTGCTGTAATAAACGTGAGGCGCGAACCGGAAAAGCTTTTGCCGATCATTATTCAACAGCGGATTACGAAAGAATGGATAACGCTCGAAACACGCAGACTCTTCCTGATGTAAGAGGTGAGTCTACTCTTTGTTTTGGTTGTTTTGGCGTTGACATCATCCTAGAGCGCAACATTCTGTGACTTAAAAAAACTAAAAACGCTGAGAAACGTTGGCAGCGAAGGGCTTTACCGATGAGGAAACGGCTGGCAGCGAATGAGTTAAACTATTTAATCTCGAAGATTTGCATAAGATAGTAGCTGAAGTTAAGCCCAGTGGTTCCCCAGATCACGTCTTGCGTTCCCGTTTGTTTAAGGAAGGTTTTTTTGCCGTCGGTCCTATAATAAATCGGATAATTAATCTGAGTTAATCTTCTGGCTCTGTCCTTGATGACTTCAAGAAAGCGGTTATCCATCCCCTTCTGAAAAAGCCTGGGTTAGTTGCCACACTTCCAGCGAACATTAAGCCTATTTCTAAGCTCCCTTTCCTGAGCAAACTATTGGAGAAATGTGTACATATTCATCTAATGGACTTGCTGAATGAAAATTAACTGTTGGAAACTTTTCAATCAGGCTTTAAAGCACAGCATAGTACTGAGACAGCACTGATGAAAGTGGGGAATATTTTGCTCGCCACTGATTGTGGCAAACTTGTCCTCCTCATTTTGCTTGACCCCACTGTTGCTTTTGACATGGTGGATCATAATGTGCTAATTGACCGCCTCAGACAATATGTGGGAGTTTCAGGTCTGGCCCTGGAGTGGTTCAGAACATATTTTGCAAATTAAACAGTTTGCATCAGAATGTGTGGTTTTTCATCTGCCTCCTCACCTGGGGTGTTCCCCAGGGTTCTGTGCTAGGACCACTTCAATATTTGATCTATATTCTCCCATTGGGGGATATTCGCCATCGCTTTGCCATTAGCTTTCTTTTCTTTTTCTTTTTTTTTTTTTTTGTTGATGACTGCCAACTTTATCTCCTCCTTGGTGGTGAACATGGCAAATCAGTGGACATCCTAGTGGACTGCCTGTTTGAAGTAAAGAGGTGGTTGTTGTCAAATTCCTTGTGTCTCAATGAGGACAAGACAGAGGCTGTCCTATTTGGACATAATGGCTGCATTGATACCACCTCGCTTGACTGTGAACCATTTAATTCAAGGTTTAAAAAAGCTGTCACAAACCTAGGAGTTTAGCTTGATAATGCCTTGGGTGTTGATACCATTGTAAATGGAATTGTGGCCACCTCTTTTTACCATCTGCGTCGTTTAGCTAAAGTAAAACCATTCCTGACAAGACACCACTTGGAGGTGGTAGTTCATGCTTTTATTACAGCACAAATAATTTACAGCAATTTCCTCCTATTTAGGCTGGCAAGGCTGCAACTAGTGCAAAATGTGGCTGCAAAAGATTTTGTGGGAAAAAAGAAATTTGACTGTTTCCCCGATCGTTGAATCCTTGCACTGGCTGCCTGTGGATTTCCAGATTTGTTATAAAGCCCTTTTATTGTTTTTTAAATCATTAAATAGGCTGGCCCCCGCATACTTGCAGACACTGATACAGCTATATACACTGGCACGGGCACTCCGCTCAGACAATAGTTTCTTGCTCAAAGTACATAGGACCCACTTAAAGACTAGAGGAGACGGGGCTTTTTCTGTGGCAGGTCCACAACTCTGGAATGAGTTACCCTACAATGTACGTGCTTTTGCATCGGTGACAGTTTTTAAGGTCAGGCTAAAGACTTTTTTATTTGATCTGGCCTTTACCCTTGGCCGTTAGTGTGCTTGTAGTGTTCTTTAATTAGTGCAATTTGTGTGTTTTTACTTCTCTTTTAATCTAGTTTTTAAATCCTTGTCCTGTCTTTACTAATGTTTGTCTGTACAGCGCTTTGTTGTCACCTCTGTGCCTGAAAGGCGCTTTAGACATAAAGGTTGAGTTGAGAATCATCAGTAGTGATGACATCTCCATTAACCACAGGTCTGAGCAGCACCTGAAACTTTCCTTTCTTTTAATGATGGACTGGGTTTTAAAGACTGGTTCCACCTTGTTTTATTCTAACAGAACTTCTCACTTGCATCAGAGATGATTAAATTTTGTCTCATTGAGAGCAGTGAGATTAGATGATGTATGCAGCTCCTTCAGTTTGAGATCAGAGCAGGTGGTTGCATGCAAAGTGAGCAGCACATCTAAATGCTATTTATCTCTGTTCAGTAGGATTAGTACAGAAAATCAGAGCAGGTCCTTTGAGCAAATAAAGTGTGAGGTAAGATGGAAAGAGACCTAATGCACCTTTATAAAGGAGAAAGTAGTAGCAAGTTTGAATGCACAAAGTGTCCCAACCAATCAGGTCTATGAAAGTAATTATATTCACCCACTCTTGTCATCCCTACGTGTTTTAGTGTGAATGATGTTATCTAGAAAAAGCCAGATGTTGGGCTTTTTTATGGGATGCTGGCTGGATGTACACTACATGTCTCCACCTGGATATAACTAAGCAAATAGGTCTGAGCCTCCTATTGGAAAATTACTAGCCTGGCCTGCCAGACTCCTCCTCTGTTTAATTCTGCACAGAGACTGTGGGTCTGGGAACTCTCCTATTCAAATAACCCCACCCCCTGAGAATTCTAACCGAGCCAATCAGCTCTGAGTAGTGTATGTCACACACCATAGCACCGAGTTTGTTGAACATGGTGACTGAAGCGGAGTTTGCTGCGGCTCTAACCTCTGTTCTAAATGACTCAGACACATCTTAAAAACAACAAGTAGAAGCGCTAAAAGTCTTTCTTCTGAAGAAAGATGTTTGCACCATAGTCAGACGCCATTTTTGACTACAGCTAAAAAACTACAGTGTCGCGCGGTACAGTCGGCATTTCCGTCTTTTTTATGATTGGTTATTTTTGAGCTGCCTAGTCCCGCCCCTCATGTGCCTCTGCCTGTGAGTTACCAGACTCTTTCTCTGTGCAGAATTAGAGGACGAGTCTGGCAGGCCAGGCTAGATAATTACTGCATCAACAATTTACTTAACCTCAATTGGTGCAAGGAGTTGCTTTTCATCTTTTAAACAACCATGTGGAAAGACATGCACCAGTAAAAGAGCTCAGATCACCATGTATACTTCAACGTAGGGCTGAACGACTTTAGGAAATGATTGAATTGCGATTTTTCTAGCAGAAATTGCTATTTCAGTTCAATTCACAATTTTCTTCAAGCCATCCTGTATATTAAGTTAAAAGATGGTCTAGAATCTAATCTAGTGCAACAGATTATTCACATTAATATTTAATATCTAAGTTGTGATTTTTATCTAGAGAGGAGTTTTATAAAAAAAAAACATGTTCTTGTTCTTATCCAAAAATGTATGGAGGAAATCTGAATGTGGAAACAGCTTTCAAGTGTATTAAATAACAAAAACACAGTTTTCCTGCATTACCTGCAGGCTCTTTCTCTCTCACTCCCTCACTCAACTACGCCCCCCCCCCCCCCCCACACACACACACACACACACACACACTCACCTACAGTGCCGTTATCATCGGCTCTAAGCAGTGCTTTGTGTGGAAAACCAAAACAGTGAAAATAACCTAAATGTGCAGCTCTGTCAGCTATGAAATTCGGCTCGGCTCTGGACGGTACACCCCCACCCCATCTCCTCTCCCCGCGCTGGCTGTTGCAACTGCTGTAACACAGGGGGAAATCCCAGGTGTAAAAAAAAATAGTTACGCAACAGATCCTGGATCAGTCAAACACAATAAAATACCGCACAATTGACGGTCACGTGATTGTGTCGTTTGAAATCGTTTCGGTCCAAAAGCGATAGATTGTTCAGCCCTACTTCAATGGCTCCCAGTTCTCTATAGGATCCAGTTTAAAATCCTGGGCCCTCACTTATGTACAGATCTGTGTGTATGTCATGTGAAGGAATTAATTTACGCATTGTTTAGTACTAGTAGTGTGTGGAAATGGTCTTAAATATAAGAAAACCTCACACCATGCATACAAAAGCATCTAGTGGTAGAACGATGGAACCGCAAAACTGAAGGTCTCAGTCAACCACACGTTCTCCATCCACAAATTATTTTACCCAATAAATAATTCTTTCTGTAGAAACACAGCTGTGTCACATAACCGGCACTGATTCCAAATGTGATTCCTGGAGGAGATCCCTCTGACGTTATGCTGTGATTTGGGACACTTTGTGGAGCAACAGACAAACCACCCAGTTCTGTTTCCAGTCCATGTTCCATTTAACAACTAGGAGAACCCCCAGAACCTCCTCTGCTCCCCAAGCATACACACTAACCAGACTGAATGACAGCTCAGAGACTGCACTCTCAGACAACATTTCCAAATAAAACTCCAAACAGAACAACGTAAATGTAAATGAACTCACTAATTTAGGATTTATCCAAATCAATGTTAGGTGAAACCATTTAACTTTATTCCTGACAGGAATCTCTCCTCCTCTAGCCCTAACCCGTAGCCTAAGTCTGCTCTTGTTTTGAAAAGCTACTCAGTGTTTCTGGGTTATTTTCATCTTTGAAGGGTTAAATAGATGCAGTGTTTTTTTATTGAATGACTGTGTTATAATCAGAATTAGAGAAATATTGAAGATTATCATTTATATTCTTTAGTATAGCACATTGGCATTAGTTTAGCTTCCGTTTCAGTTGTTTGACATTCATTTTGTTTATGTTTATATTTTCATACCTGATCACATCATCACCTCTCAGATATTTAATTTCCTGTTTGCTTTTACACAACAGTCATCACAAGTTATTATTTCTGCATCCTTGTTTTTCTCATTCATTCTTTTTTCTCTGTTTTCTTTTCCTTTGTTTTCTCGGAATATTTTTGTCTATCCGATCTCGACCCCTCGCTGCAGCCAAACTGCGGCTGGTGGCGGCTGAGGGTGGAGCTAGTAGTCACAGCCGACTGCAGCGCTGCCTAAAGAGAGCCCGAAGCCTGCAGCAGCGCATGCAGCTGCAGCAGCAGAAGCAGCAGCGTGACTCAGAGGCAGACAGAGAGCTGCAGGAGGAGGAGCAGCAGCTCCTGGAACAGCCCAGGTATTTAGCCAATCAGATCCCAGGGAACACTCTGGGGCCAGGTCTGGGGTCATAAGTTCTGCTACTCCATCTGTTGGTTTCATGAGGAAATCTCCAGAATCTGTGTTTGTGTAGGATGCCAACATCGGGAATTATTCAAATTCTCTGTTTCCTCCAAGATTTTTAACCAGACGATGAGTCGCACACCTCATGGTGGGTCGCACACCTGATGGTGGGTCGCACACCTCATGGTGGGTCGCACACCTGATGGTGGGTCGCACACCTCATGGTGGGTCGCACACCTGATGGTGGGTCGCACACCTCATGGTGGGTCGCACACCTGATGGTGGGTCGCACACCTCATGGTGGGTCGCACACCTGATGGTGGGTCGCACACCTCATGGTGCGTCGCACACCTGATGGTGGGTCGCACACCTGATGGTGGGTCGCACACCTGATGGTGGGTCGCACACCTCATGGTGGGTCGCACACCTGATGGTGGGTCGCACACCTCATGGTGGGTCGCACACCTGATGGTGGGTCGCACACCTGATGGTGGGTCGCACACCTGATGGTGGGTCGCACACCTGATGGTGGGTCGCACACCTCATGGTGCGTCGCACACCTGATGGTGGGTCGCACACCTGATGGTGGGTCGCACACCTCATGGTGGGTCGCACACCTCATGGTGGGTCGCACACCTCATGGTGGGTCGCACACCTCATGGTGCGTCGCACACCTGATGGTGGGTCGCACACCTCATGGTGCGTCGCACACCTGATGGTGGGTCGCACACCTCATGGTGCGTCGCACACCTGATGGTGGGTCGCACACCTCATGGTGCGTCGCACACCTGATGGTGGGTCGCACACCTCATGGCGGGTCGCACACCTCATGGCGGGTCGCACACCTCATGGTGGGTCGCACACCTCATGGTGGGTCGCACACCTGATGGTGGGTCGCACACCTGATGGTGGGTCGCACACCTGATGGTGGGTCGCACACCTCATGGTGGGTCGCACACCTGATGGTGGGTCGCACACCTGATGGTGGGTCGCACACCTCATGGTGGGTCGCACACCTGATGGTGGGTCGCACACCTCATGGTGGGTCGCACACCTCATGGTGGGTCGCACACCTCATGGTGGGTCGCACACCTCATGGTGCGTCGCACACCTGATGGTGGGTCGCACACCTCATGGTGGGTCGCACACCTCATGGCGGGTCGCACACCTCATGGTGGGTCGCACACCTCATGGTGGGTCGCACACCTGATGGTGGGTCGCACACCTGATGGTGGGTCGCACACCTGATGGTGGGTCGCACACCTGATGGTGGGTCGCACACCTCATGGTGGGTCGCACACCTGATGGTGGGTCGCACACCTCATGGTGGGTCGCACACCTGATGGTGGGTCGCACACCTCATGGTGGGTCGCACACCTCATGGTGGGTCGCACACCTCATGGTGGGTCGCACACCTCATGGTGGGTCGCACACCTGATGGTGGGTCGCACACCTCATGGTGCGTCGCACACCTGATGGTGGGTCGCACACCTGATGGTGGGTCGCACACCTCATGGTGGGTCGCACACCTGATGGTGGGTCGCACACCGTTTTAAATGGTTGCTGTAGTTTGACAGGGTCAGAGAAACCAGAACCTGAATCAGCGTTTCCAACGGTTGTGTTTAATCTCTTCTTTGCAGTGAAAAGCCTTTCAGAGTACTTCTGACAGACACCCAGGACAACCAGTCAGCTGCCAATCAGGCTCCGCCTCCCATGACCTGTCTTGTTAAGCCCCTCCCTCCCAAATCTATTTTGCTTTTCGAGCCCCTCCCCACTTCTGCAGCATCCTCACATACGGAGGACGGCAGAAACCGGAGCCCCTCCCCTTACTTTGGGAATCCCCTCTGTAACTCTAGGTCTCTCCCTACTTTATGTGTGGACACATCCCTGAAAGACTTGGCTGCTCCCCCTCCACCTGAAGAGGATTGGTCCAATCCATCACAAGCACTGCCTCCACCCAAGCCACACCCATGTACTCCATCACCTGTTGGTACCAATGGCAGATGTCATATGATGATGGAAGCAGAGCAATGTTTCACCAGATATCCTGAGGACACACTTCCTGATCCTAGCCACACCCAAATATTAGCCCCTCCCTCCCATCCCACCAGGAAGTGGTCCTGTTTAGCCCTGGACCAGTCTGATGTTGTGGACTCTTCTGATCCAGTTCTTAGCTCACCCTTTTATTCACCGTCAGACTCCCCCAACAAGGCCCCCTCTGAGACCTGGTACAGTCAGACCTCCTCCCTGCCCCACAGTCTGGACTACAGAGCTGCCTTGCCAGTGGAGCGCTGGGCAGAAAATGTCAACAGGTACTACAGCTCCCAGAATACAGTGGGAGATGGAGCAGGGTTGCCTTCGGATAGCCAGGAGCTCTCAGAGCTGGACACACTGTACCAGGCCAGTCTGCTGGCTCCCAGCATGCCCCGGGGCCACCGCGGCGTAAGCCCTCAGCCAGCTGGCAGCAGACCAGGTGAGACCTGCAGGAACTGATTCTGGCTTGACTCTAATGAAGGAAAATATTCATCAGAGCAAAATATTTACTGAAATGTTTTCTTTACTGAGATGCCTCAAATAGTAGAAACTACTTTTGATAATAAAGCAAACCTCAGCAGCACATAACATAATAGAAGCGTTTTCACTGCAAAATCACCGGCAACTCCCGCCTTACTGGAAGCGTTTCAGATGCACGGCACCTGTGAATACGTTCCACGCAGCTGGTCACAAAACTGTGACTTAACAGCTGGATTAGCCTACATATCTGGGGTTAGTCCCACCTCCCTCCTGCTGCTTCAGAAAGCTTACAGTTAGAATAGACATATGTTACTGTAGAATTATTTAAATGTGTTTGTGTGGGGGGCTTCTGTTATGTCAGAGGTCAAAGGTCACCTGCGGTTAACTTTTGATCCCATGCACATGAACAAAAACCTGTGATTTTTCCCTCCATCCTAAACAATAGTTTTCATTTTGTAACACTTAGCCACTCAGCAAACATGCACATTTGGGCCCCATGTGGGATGTCTCTGGGCAACTATTCAGCCCACAGTGGGAACCATAGTCATTGTGAAATGTAGGACACATGCAGGTTCCATCATTTGGGGCCACGTAGGGTCCCAATAGGGCTTGGCCAGCATATGTGAGCTGCCATTGCGGCCCCACTCTGGCCCATCACTGTGAGACCTTCATGTTTCTGTGGGGCCCTCATGTGCCCCTCATCTCACGGTGGTGCCCTGGCCCACACATGTGGACTTCCTGCTATGACCCCAGTGTGGCCCACTGCTGTGGGACCCTCATGTGTGGGCTTCCCACTGTTTACCATTTAATAAAAATAATAATGTATTAGATGTGTATAGAGCTTTTCATTATCCATTCATTCACACATTCACACACTGCCCGTGATGATAATCTACTAATTGGCCAATGCTGCCATTTGTGCCCAACTTGGGCAAGTTGGTCTGAAGGGAACTGGGTTTGAACCTACAACCTTCTGATTACTGAACAGCCCTATCTACCTTTAGGGCTACTTCTGCCTTACCATTACACTCACTAAATATTATAATAGCATTCAAAAACTACATATTTTGTAAATGCATTGACTACAAAGACACCCAGTAAACCTGCCGGGACACACCATGAGTTTAGTGGGCTGTGTCTGGGATAGTATAGGCAGAGCAAACCCACACTTGCTCCAGAGTGAACACACAAGGATCTTGTGTAGGAATGGGTCCAGTGTGTCCTTTCCCATGAGGGCCTCTTTTGGATTTAGTTAAGGGAAACCCACAGATATATCTGCCCAATTCCATCCCATGCTAAGCCCTTGTGAGGGGACCCTGTGCCAGCCCAGTGGACGTTTGCATTTATGCGTTAGCTGTGTTTACTTCTGTGGGCTTCCCACAATGGTATCTGCCCAAAAACAACTCACAGTGACCCCATGGGTGTGAGCCAATATGGGGAATCCAACAGTCTGCCATGTTTAATTCCTCAGGGGGATTTCTGTGGGCACGCCATAGTGGTATGTGCCCAAAAACTAGCCACAGTGGCCCTGTGGGTGTCAGCTCATAAGCTTTACACCTGTGTGTGTGTGTGTGTGTGTGTGTGTGTGTGTGTGTGTGTGTGTGTGTGTGTGTGTGTGTGTGTGTGTGTGTGTGTGTGTGTGTGTGTGTGTGTGTGTGTGTGTGTGTGTGTGTGTGTGTGTGCGTGTGCGTGCGTGTGTGTGTGTGCAGGTGTGAGGAGGATGTCAGCAGGATCTGGCCGGTCCAAAACTCCGACAGCTGAGATTGAGAGATGTGCCTACAGAACTCCAGTCACACCTGTGCAGGTATGAACAGAATGATTTTATAAGCGAGGCATTTCCCTAACTCTAACCCAGGGGTAACCATCCTTTGTGAAGCCGAGAGCTACTTCATTGGTACTGAGCCACAAGGGTCTACCAGGTCGATACAATTGTGGCCTTTGAACTAGAATAAGTCAGAGTTACACCAGACTTCATGTGTAATAAAGAATAAAGAAATTTGTTGTTTTAAATTTTATATTATTGCATTTGTGATTGAAAAATGGCAGCAGATTTTGTTTGTTTATGTTGCACTTGTGCTCTTTGGAGAAATGGTCTATGGGACCTTATATGGTTCCTGGGAGGCACTAGGTTGGTGAACCCTGCCCTAAATCCTTTCCTCCATATAATGTTTTATAAATATCCATGTAACAGGAAATATACATATATACATACAAATATAAATATACAGGAATATCAGTTAAGACCAGTTTAAAAAAAAAGAAAGTTTAGAAATGCTGTCCGACTGAGAAGTATGAGCATGTAAAGCACTCAGTATTTAGTTGGGACTCCTTTAGCCTGTATTACTGCAGCAATGCGGCATGGAGTCCATCAGTCTCTGGCACTGCTCAGGTGTTATGAGAGCCCATGTTGCTCTGATAGCGGCCGTCAGCTCTTCTGAACGATTGGGTCTGGTGTATTGCATCTTCCTCTTCACATTACCCCATAACCTTTCTATGGAGTTAAGGTCAGGCGAGCTTGCTGGCCAATCAAGAACAAGCATACCATGGTCCTTAAACCAGGTACTGGTAGCTTTGGTACAATGCGTTGTTCATCTACACAACTAGAAAATAACGCTGTTGCTATTTCAGCTTTGTGAAACCCTGAGAAAGATTAAACGAATTGGCAATGAAACTTATATAATCGATAGAAGTTCATACACCAACTGGCTTGGTCTATATTTAATCAAAAGATTAATATTTAATTTAAGAGATTTAAATTAATAGCAAAAGTTCATTTTAATTCAGAAGATCTAAAGAGATCTTTGCTCATTCAATGATCAATATGCACCACTCTGTGTCTTATTTCAAAGAAGAGTCAGGTTTAAAAAGTTAAGAATTTATTACTAACAATTTAAACTGTGACAATTAAAACAATTTATGAAGGACAATTTATAAAAGCTTTGGTATTAAAACTTGGTATTAAAGCAATCTGTTTGGATGAAACTAAACATGAAGTGTGTTTGTTTGGATGTGTGAATGTAGGTCTCAGAAGGTTTTTATCTAGAAGGTTTTTATCTCAGAAGGTTTTTAGAGAGAGAAAACGCGTTCTGGGTGAAAAAATTTGGTTTGCAGTTAAGCTAAATTATTTCTTAATAAAAGAGGCATTCAGACGCAATCTGTGTTCTATCTCACCGTTCAAACGACCCTCTGTTCAGATCCGGAGGTCAAGGGAGGATGTTGATCAGCCTCTGGGTACTCGGTCCGGTAGGGTAGACCAGTGGTACCGACTCTCTGGTCCTAGAGTTGCCGCAGGCACACAGGTGGATGGTTTGCGTCTGAGCAGATTCTTAAGGAATTTCATAGCGTCAGCTTGTTGCAGATGGCGTTTCTGTTGAAGCAATTCTATGGGCGTGACAGAAAAGCTTTAGTAGAGGTTTCGAACGGCCGACTCGATCCTCTGGACTCTCGTTGCCACGGAGAGAATTTGGTGAGCTCAAGAACTCAACTTGAACTGAGGAGTTAGGTTTTAAGAGACGGCCGGTAATCTTATTCTAACGAATTAGATTTTGACACGTAGATTTAACATACCTCAGAACACACCCTCCCAAGATAGAGAGCTCTGGTGTTATGGAACAAAGACATGTGAGTGCAGTTAACCTTAACCTTATTTACTGTGTGCTGCATGATTGTGTATAAGTGCAGATGATCTTCTTGTCACTGTTAAACATTACTGATTATCATAAATAATATTTATTATTAACCAATGAATAATAATTCATTTCAGTAATTAAATACATTTATAATGAACCTTGATGATTATTTATGAACATTGTAATAGACAGTGAAAAGAGTTTATTAAAAATGATTCTTTTAAATCTTGAAGTGTCCTTCGTCTTGCGGATGGAACAGCAGTCAGATTATAGGGGTGGTAGACCGACATTCAGTCTCCTGTGATGGATAATCTGTAGATAGATGTACAGCCAGGACAGCTTGACCCAGCTGAGGAAGTGTGACCTTTGGGTCACAAATGAGGCCATCCATGTCGCTACACCAGGTACTGGTAGCTTTTGTACTATGCAGGTGCCAAGTCCTGTTGGAAAATGAAATCTGCATCTCCATAAATTTGGTCACCAGCAGGAAGCTTGAAGTGCTCTAAAACTTCCTAGTAGGCAGCTGTGTTGACCTTTGACCTCAGAAAACACAATAGACCAACACCAGCAGACGACATGGCACCCTAAACCATCACTGACTGAGGAAACTTTATACTGGACCTTAAGCAACGTGGATTCTGGACCTCTCTTCCTCCAGACTCTGGGACCTTAATTTCCAAAGGAAATAAAAATGTACTTTCATCAGAGAACATAACTGTGGACCACTCAGCAGCAGTCTCGTCATTTTTGTCTTTAGCCCAGGTGAGACGCTACTGACGCTGTCTCTTGTTCAAGAGTGGCTTGACACAAGGAACCCGACAGCTGAACTCATGTCTTGCTTACATCTGTGCGTGGTGGTTCTTGATGCACTGACTCCAGCTGCAGTCCGCTCTATGAATTTCCCCCACATTGTTGAATGGGTTTTGTATCACAATCCTCTCCAGGATTTTTGCAGCAGCAGCAAAAACGACAGCTGTGGGCCTCACACGCAGCTGTTAAATTGAATTGAATAACTTTTATTTGATGTAGAGGGACAGTGTGCATTAATAAACATTTTACAATGTAAATGTACCCAATTACAGCCAAAAGGCTCATTTCCATTGGTAGTCCCCCTGCCGAATGGCACATAGTATGAAACAACATTTAAAGTTATAAACATTTTAAAAACAATACAAGTAAAACAACATTACTTAGAGTACACCCGCCCACCCCCCACCCCGCACTCACACACATACAAAATGAATCATATTCACTCTAACAATAACGCTCATATATTGGTTCTTAAAACTAGTACTGACAAACTTCAGTGTCAATCAACCGTAACCTTAATTTTATTTTAAATGTACTGCATGTGACAGAGTCTCTTATGTTTTGCGGAATTGTATTCCAGACTCTAGCCGCCTCACAGGTGAAAACTGATTGTCCAAAGGAACTTTTCCTGCATGGCATCACACAATCCCCTCTAGCAGCCCCTCGAGTAACACGTGTTACAGACGATAGGAGTAACATGTGTTACAGACGATCGAAATTCTACAAGACTACTAAGAGGAGGTGGAGCAAAGCTGTTTTTGATCTTGGACATAAGACAACAGTTTTTAAAAATGACAAGATTGCTCCAGTTTAGGAGCCTATATTTACTAAAGATTGTGCAATGGTGAAAGGATCTTGTTTTTTTTTTATCTAGAATTTTGATAGCCTGTTTATATAAAGATGGTGGAGTTTGCAGAGGCCCAAGCAGGTAAACAATAATTTTTGTGAGATATTATGAGAGCAAACATGTAAATTTTTGCAGCTTCTGTTGACATATGATTTCTAAGGTGCTCAAAATTTACAAGTGTGGAATTTATACATTTGGTTACTTTTTTAACATGTTGTTTAAAAGCCAAGTTACTGTCTAAAATAATACCGAGATATGTGTATTAATTTACATTTTGAATTCTCTATCCAGAAATATCATTAGGTTCTGAACAAACCTTTTTTTGTATTTTTAGTATAAAAAAAAAAACATAGCAAAAGTTTTTAAGAAATTTAGTTGTAAATGACAGCTATTCAACCAGTTTGAGACATTTACTATGACCTTTGTAAGTTGTGCAGCTGCCCCAAAATGATCATCACCTTTAACAAAATTCACGGTATCATTTGCATACATAAGCACTTCACAGCCATGACACACAGATGGTAGGTCGTTAAGTCACTCACTGCCATTGACGATTAAAGTTGTCATTGGCATTTTTTTACAGTTTGGGCATCGGAACGAGCCCCCGCGCTGAGAGAACAAATATCTCAGCTCTGAAGCCAATCTTCATCTTCATCCGCATATGTCTCATGTCACATGATCAGGAAGCAGAAAATCCATGCATTAGGAGATTGTTTTGGGCCGTTCCCGTAAAATAAAGTGAGGCGCAAACCGGAAAATCGTCTGCCGATCAAAATTCGACAACGAATTATGAAAGAACGGTTAACGCTTAAAACATGCGGATTCTTTCTTATGTAAGAGGTGAGTCTCCTCTTTGTTTTGGTTGTTTTGGCGTCGACATCATGCTAGCGCGCAATGTTCTGTGACTCTTAAAAAAACTGTAAACACGGTGAGAAACGCTGGCAGCGAAGACTTGTAGCGTTCAGGAAACAGCTGGCAGCGAATGAGTTAATGTAAAGACTAAATAGAATTGGACCCAAGATTGAGCCCTGTGGTACACCTGTAACAAGATCTTTAAAAGAAGATCTGTTATTTTGTATTTTGACACATTGAGTTCGATTAGTGAGATATGATTTGAACCAGCTGCACGTAAATTGTGAAAAATTGAACTGAACAAATTTAGACTGGAGGATATCATGGTTAACAGTGTCGAACGCTTTTTGTAGATCTGAAAAAACTGCACCAACCACCCCTCCTCTTGTCTATCATAGACTTAACCCTTTCAACAAAGTAAACAGTTGCTGTTTCTGTTGAGTGATGTGCCCTAAAAAGCCATGTTGCTTGGGGTGTAAGAGTTGATTAGAATTAAGATGATTAATTAGTTGATCAGCCATTACACCTGCCCTTCAGACACTCTTTCAAAAGTGAAGACTGGTGCAAAGGACTTTGTTTCCTTTGAAATATATTGTTGATGTGATGGAAAACTGGTAGCAATAGCATCTACAGATTCTATAAAATAGTGGTTTAGAGCTTCAGCTACAGCAGCTGAGTCATCTGTTAGTGTCATTAGTTCTCAGTTCTATCTTTTTTCTACTGAGTCTCCTGGTTCTGGTCCAGTCCCAGTTAACACGACTGTCCCTAAATGGATCCTGTCTGCTGCTGAATATGAAGGACCAGAAGAAGAATGGACTTGTATTCCCTCACGGCTCTGCGTTGTGCGTAGATGATCTCAGCTAAACTCATCAGATCTTTTCTCGTTATCCCTACTACTTGTACACTTTTCTACCACATCCTGTCCTCCCCTAACCTCTCTATTGATGTTCTTGGACCCGGGGCTTTTGGAGCTGTTTTGAGTTAGTTGGCCAATTGGAGTGTAACACCAGGGGTCTTCAATATTGAACCTTTTCACAATGTTCTAATATTCTGAGATACTGAATTTGGAGTATTCATTAGTTATCAGTTATAATCATCAAAATTAAAGAAATGAACATTTGTAATATCAGTCTGTGTGTAATGAATGAATCCAATATACAAGTTAAACCTATTTAATGAATTTACTGAATTTACTTTGTCGTAATTTTCTAATTTTATGACCAGCGCCTGTATAGTTGGTGTAAAAGTTTATAACTTAGGACCCACATGAATTAGTTAGTCTTGTAATTGGTTGGTTGTCGGGTCAGTTTCGGGCTCTGTCCGTGTCAGTTGTTGTGTCCTTGGGCAAGACACTTCACCCTCCTTCCTGCTAGTTGTGGTCGGAGGGACTGGTGTCCTCGTCACCATCATGTGCCACCAAGTCACCAAGACATGAAACGGTAAATTAGCAAATGGCCTGTATTCATATAGCAGCCTAGAGTCCTTAGAACAGCCCGAGGTGCTTTACAACACAACCGTGACTCACACGCTGGTGGTGGTGAGCTACATCGTAGCTACAACTACCCTGGGACACACTGATGGAAGCCACCCGTCCCTCTGGCCACCACTAGCAGGATGGAGGTTGTCTTGCTCAAGGACACAGTGACTGTCAGACTAAGTGGGGCTTGAACCTGCAACTTGTAAAAATCATTCATATATTTTAAATAAACCCAGCAACCATGAGAGAAGGGTGACTCACATCCTTTGTCTTGTGGCTGATAATAGATGAAAATTATTTTTAAGAACAGAGAGTAAAAACCATCAGCTAATCTGTTTAAGGCCTTTTTAGGGTTTCCTACAAAAAACACTTCCTGTTTCTCTGCAGCCGCCTGCAGGTGAAGACGAGAGCTACAGCGCTGAAAACCTGCGGCGTCTCGCGCGCAGCCTGAGTGGTACCGTCATCGGGTCAAGACCTCGGCACCCTCCACATGGCTGTGTATGTCACACACACACACACACACGCACTTCTGTTTGTGCTCGTCTCTAAGCACCAGCGTAGCAGTCAGGAAGGGTGAAACTGTACAAACGGGACTAGAAGAAGTAGAAGAAATGACTTTTTCTATAGCACCTCTCCAGATACAAATCACAAGAATAAAAATTAAAAAAATATCTAAAAATAAACCATTTTCATTATCCCGGAGAATTTGGTTGCTTTTGATGAGCTCGGGTTGAACTAATTCAGACTCCTGATTTTAACCCATCTAAAGGAGAGATCAGAAGTTACCCAAACAGCTGCTGAACATGATTTTATGTCTGAGGTGGACAGACCGGAGGAGGGAGATGTTTCAGCCCCCAGGACCTGCCTCAGACTTTAACCTTTATCAGCAGTTTAGTGTCTGACCCGGTCCGACCCAGCTGCTGTAGCAACAGTCGAACTCTCCAGCTCCTTCTCTGGTTAGAGGTGTCTGCTCAGGAGTCTGGCTCATCATTGCTTTACCTCTAGGAATATCGTCTCCTGGATGCTCCTTTAGTCATCTCTACAGCACTGATCAGAGATCACAGAGCGTATTAAAACATAGATCTAGCCAGAGGAGTACGGTCCACCCAGGGCTGATGATCACTTTACCTGTTCTTGCATGAGCAGACCCGTCCAGACATTCCTCTGTAGGTCACAACCAGGTAACAGGTGTTTTAGCTCACCTACTTTTCATTCGTCCTGTGTGGAGAGCAACAAGCAAATAGAGACTGGAGGTTCCTCCTCTTGTACACTTCATGTGCTTTTTCATTTTCCTTCCTATCATTTCAACATTTTTACCTTTTCATCTTCTTCATGTTTCATCCTACAGGATCCCCCCCTCTCCAGACCCCCCCTCAGTTACTCAGACCTTCATTCCTCCCTCCATCACCCCTCCACCTCCTCCACAGCACATCACTCCTTCCACCAACTCCACGGCCCCCCAGCTCCACTGCACCCCCACACGCAGCCATCACGGCCCCCCAGCTCAGGGTTCTCCTCCCAGGGACACTCAGGTAACCCACCAGCCCTCCACACCACTCCTTCATGTCATCCACCGGTTTGGTTTTGAACCTTTTGTTAGAAACAAAACTTCTGACATATTGATTATTTATTTCATTAATTTGTTTTTTAGTTGTTTATTTTCCCTCTGGGATCACAAAAGAGTGTTTAGAATAGAAAGTGGTCCTGAAGGTTTAGATGATCTGTTTATCAGATGCAAACAGAAACAAAACGACACCAGAACCAGGAGGTGACTAATTGTTGCCTTACCCCCCCTACAGGAGCCCCGAGGCCCCCCCAGCAGCAGTTTGTGGTTGTGTGTAACAGGAGTCCACCTCCCTCGGCTCTCCACAGTGTCGCCCTGAGCTACAGCACTCTTCCTCGGGCTCCCCATCACACTGCTCCTCCCTCCTCCTCCTGCAATTCCTCCCTCCCCAGACCCAGAGCTGGTCCTGCTCCCCCACCAGGTCTACAGAGACTCTACGCCACTCTGGCCCCCCATCATCTCTCCATAAACACCTCCAGCACCAACAGGCACCAGCGCCAGGCATCTCTGCCAGGGAGAGCCAGCGGGAGCGTCGCCTATGCTCCACAGCGCTCCGGAGGACAGGGAGATGGATCTCAACCGCTCCGCCTAGATATGCCCCCAGAGACCGACTGGCGGCGCGAAGCCGACTTTAGAAACAGTCCGTACAGCTTGGTTCGGTGCCATCCGCCCCCTCAGCGGTCCAACAGAGACCCCTACAGAGCCCCCCAGGTCTGTTCGCTCTGCCAGCATCTTCCCGCTGAGCCGTCATGCCCGTTCTGCTCATCCTGCAGAACCCGTCTGTCCAGGCTTCGTCTCAGCAGCAAATGATGAAAGCTGCATGGACTCACTGCGGTGTAGGCTGATAAGCTTCAGAGGAGCTAGAGCCTCCGACCCAAAGCTGACCTACGGACAGAACTCAGAGATGGGTCTCTGCTGAATGGAGACGCAGACAGTTGGACTGGTGGGTCAGAATAGTCAGACTCAGAGAACTGCAAGGATGTGTCAGATTTTTATTTTGATTCAAATTAAATTTAGATAATCTAGAAATGAAAAGGCTCCTAACCCAATCTGATGATGTCATTAACACAAATAATCAATGCTAGTTTATCTCAGTATTTATTTGAAATGTAACTTAAACTGTTAGGAGACTGAAACAGAACGAGAACATCCTGATATTTGATCTGTTTCAGCCTCTGCAGCAGCAAAAACGACAGCTGTGAGCCTCATGCTCAGCTGTTCCTGAGTCTCCTGGTTCGGGTCCAGTCCCAGTTAACATGACTGTCCCTAAATGGATCCTGTCTGCTGCTGAATATGAAGGACCAGAAGAAGAATGGACTTCCTGTATTCTGTCTGGTTAAACCGTCTTTTATCTTGTTTCCTGTAGGCTCGCGGCTCTGCGTTGTGCGTAGATGATCTCAGCTGAACTCACCAGATCTTTTCTCGTCTTGTTTGGGACGTGCCGCCTTTAGATTCAAATTGAAGCTTTATTTTAACAAGAGTTGCCGCTAATATTTAGCATGATGTTTATTCTAGCCTGGATGTTTTGTTCTTAGGGCGATGCCTCTGCTGCTCCCAGCTCTGATTTAGTGCACTTTAGAAGTGTTAATGGTAGGTTTATTTTTGGCTTCCTGGGGTCTCCTGTCCCTTCCTGGGAACAGTTTCTGGTTAAACGATGAAGGAATATTAAAACCACACAAGTCCTAGTCCCATCTTCTCACACCCCACATACCTGGGCCCTCATTTATCAAACATTTGTAGAAACTGTCCTAAATTCCTTCCTACGCATAAAATTTTGAATTTTCATATGAACAGTCAAACTCCAGATTTATGAAACATGCAGTGACCTCTCGTACGCACGTTCCTCTGCAAACGTCTGATGATAAATCCCACCTGTGCGTACCCAGGTGCTCATTCTCAGTCATTTACATACAGAAACGCCCTCAATTAACCATATTTGGTCAAGCTGCATCCTCTGCAATTTAGGGAATAGGGAGCCTAAGTCTCCTCCCTTTCCGGTTGGCTCAAGGGTCGCTGGAAGAACGATAAAATGAATGCAAGGCAACGGGGCTAAAAGAGCTACTTTCTAATCCGCTTTGCCTTAGACCCTGGATTGCACATGTTGTACTTATATTTAAATGAAAACTAATGATGGGTGTTTCGACCACGCCAGTCATGTACTTTGAGATTTATCAGCTTGTAAAAGTTCGTAATTAGCATGACTACACATCAGACATCGGCATGTTGCATGAGTCTTCTACTGATGAGAGGATTTCTTCTGTCAGTGGAAGGACCAGGTGAGTTGTTGCTTTAGTTCCTAGAAACTTGTGCCTGGACTGTAGTGACCTCGTCGTCGTCGTCTTCCTCCGCTTATCCGGGTCCAGGTCGTGGGGGCAGCATCCCATCTAGGGAGCTCCAGGCTGTCCTCTCCCCGGCCTTCTCCACCAGTTCCTCCAGCAGAACCCCAAGGCGTTCCTGGACCAGATTGGAGATGTAACCTCTCCAACGTGTCCTGGGTCGACCTGGGGGCCTCCTGTCGGCAGGACATGCCCGAAACATCTCCCCGGGGAGGCGTCCCGGAGGCATCCTGACCAGATGCCCAAACCACCTCAACTGACTCCTTTCGATCCAGAGGAGCAGCGGTTCTACTCCGAGTCCCTCCCGGATGTCCGAGCTCCTCACCCCATCTCTAAGGCCGAGCCCGGCCACCCTACGGAGGAAACTCAATTTGGCCGTTTGTATCTGCAATCTCGTTCTTTCGGTCATTACCCAAAGCTCATGACCATAGGTGAGGATTGGGACGTAGATCGACCAGTAAATCGAGAGCCTGGCTTTCTGGCTCAGCTCCCTCTTCCCCACGACAGATCGGCTCAGCGTCCGCATCACTGCAGACGCCGAACCAATCCGCCTGTCAATCTCCCGATCCCTCCTACCCTCACTCGTGAACAAGACCCCAAGATACTTAAACTCCTCCACTTGAGGTAGGACCTCTCTCCCGACCCAGAGTTGGCAAGCCACCCTTTCACGGTCGAGAACCATGGTCTCAGATTTGGAGGTGCTGATCCTCATCCCAGCCGCTTCACACTCAGCCACGAACCTACCCAGCAAGAGCTGAAGGTCAGAGCTGGATGAAGCTAGGAGGACCACATCATCCACAAAAAGCAGAGACGAGATTCTCCTGCCACCAAACTCGACACACTCCACACCACGGCTGCGTCTAGAAATTCTGTCCATAAAGGTGATGAACAGAACCGGTGACAAAGGGCAGCCCTGGCGGAGTCCAACCCTCACTGGGAACAGGTCCGACTTACTACCGGCTATGCGGACCAAACTCACGCTCCTCTGGTAAAGGGACTGAATGGCCCTTAACAGAAAGCCACCCACCCCATACTCCTGGAGCGTCCCCAACCCCGTCCCCCCCCCCAAGGGTGTAGTGACCTGTTATTTATAATAAGTTAATAAATACACTAAACCCACAGTACGTGATAGAAAATAAGATTTATAAAGTCTGAATATGTTTTCCCGCAGCTCAGCTCTGTTAAATAAGCAGATGGCTGCTTAAGCTGGACAATATATAAGAAGGTGTTCACAGCTAACTAATCTTTTATTTAAAAAAGAATATTAATTTTTATTTTAATATTTAATTTCTAAGGTTTGGATGTCTGTGAACATTACATATGTTTCTGATTAGTGTAAAAAAGGTAATACAATGCAAGATATTCTTAATAACAGGTCTGGATGTGGTTCGGTCTGAGGAATAAAACTCTGCCCTGGGCCTAAAGCCCTACAGATAGATTTAGTTTCTATAAACACCACCAACAAATAAACAACAACTGGAATCTGCTTTGTTCCTTAAACTGAATCACGTAGTTTAGTGAGTTCTGCACGCTCATACGTTCAACAGCGTCTTTGCCAGCTGATTGGTTCTTTTGGTAGATCAGTTCATTTGGCCCCAGTTATGTGTCTGCATACCCCTCCGAAAGTAGTCGTGCCCCTGATTGGATTCATGTGGTTTATCTGTCGCTCCACAAAGGGTCCCAAATCACTCCAGAAGATCTCCTTCAGGGAGATCAGTGCGCCCACGAAGGACGCGTTCCCTCCAGAGATCACGCTCTGCCAAATCCTCCAATAACAGGAAGACAAAACAATCTTTCATAGCGCTTCTCACGCAAAATCATGTGGCGCTTCGCAAGGACAATACAATGAATTTTAAAAAATAATTAATGAAAATATTTAAAAAGATTAACACCATCATAAAAGTGAGAAGTGTAATAATTGTGATTACAAAATAACAGGAAATCAGCCATTCTACGATGTCAGATTCCCGTCAGTCACGGGTGTTTTAGCACCAATTCTGTGACCGCCATTTTTACACCAAAATAAACATTTATTAGGTAAAATAATTTGTGGATGACGAACATGTTGACTGAGACCTTTGCTATTGTAGATCCCCCATTCTACCACTAGAATCTGTTTGTAAGCATGGTCTGAGCTCTTATATTTAGGAACATTTCTGAGCACAAGTACCAATTGGTAAATACCACACAATGTGTGAAATTGTCCTTATGCTCGAATTATGCACAGATCTGTTATTAAGCATGGTTGATAAATGAGGGCCCTGGTGTTACAGATCTGATCTGAAGGTAAAAGTTGCATTAATGTTAGTTCCTCCTCTAATGCTACCGAAGCTAAACTCCAAACTTCCCCTTAGTTCAAGTTTGTTTCAGATCAAACAGTGATGTTTTCATTGTGTCAGAGTTTCTTTAGTTTTTGCTTTCTGCTTTGCCAGATATTCTGTTGAGTTTTGGAATATTTTTGATGCTTATTTTTCTACATTGTCCACTAAACTGAGACAATACGATGATTAAAACATTTGAAGCTCCAGCATGTCTCCGGTGATGATTCAGCTCCTGTCTGACTTTGTTTTTGGTTTTCTGGGGTCTCATTTATCAAACTGCGTGGAATCCTTACTACAACCGTACTTAAGCTCAGCAAAAAAATTTACTTACGCCAAGTAGGTTTGTGATCTATCAAACATGGAGTACGCACAGCTGCACGCAATCTCCGCTTCATAAATCAGACACTAACGAGAAAGGTTCTCAGCTGCTTTTTAGTCACATCCCGCCCTCAACACGCCCACTTTCTGCCATAAATAGTCAATGCAAAGTGCCTTGTGGATCTCATGCATATACATAAGCCGGCTTGTTGCAGCATTTCAATCACGACCGCAGATCAAGGAAGCGCAGTTTCACAGAAGCAGAAGTTGAGGTACCTGTGGGTGAGGTGGAGAAATGAAAGGAAGTGCTTTTGCAAAACAAATAAGAGAAAATCCACGGAGTGGCACAGCATTGCTGAAGCCGTCAATGTTGTGAATTCTTCAGAGAGATCTGTGGCGGATATAAAAAAATGGTCCAGTTGGGATTCAATCCCCAGACTCCCAGGTGAAAGTCCCACGCGCTAACCAGTCACCCAAATGGAGATCTCCCTTGTCCACGTAGCCAGGGCGCATGATCAGTCGGGTCACAGTGACAGGACACACACTGTCACAGACGCATGACATTCTGTCTCAATCTGTCCCCCTGCTGATATTCTGCATTCCGTATTCTGTGCTTCAGGCTGTGTGTGTGGGGGGGGGGGTCTTGTTCTGTGTGAAAACGAAGCAGTACAAGTGATAATGCTGCAGGATTTCATAATTTTATCCTTTTCAGCAGCAGCACTGCAGGTGCTCTCCATGTCCAAAATGTGCGTAAGCCAGGTCCTTAGTCAACTTAAAGTTGCCACATTTTTCCCCTAAGTTTTCTTTCATTAATCCCAACGTTTGCGTGGAAAGTTGCTTACGCAGTTTTCCGCCCCCGTTTTGTGCGTGAGCAAGTTTTATAAATGAGGCCCCTGTTCATTAAGTAAATAAGAAAAACTTTACTATATAAGGGACCCAGCAAATTGCATCAAGTCACTGACTAGTGTCACTGACTTTACAGCAATCCTCATACTAAGCAAGCATTTAGCGACAGTGGAGAGGAAAACTCCCTTTTAACAGGAAGAAACCTCCAGAGGATCCTGGCTCAGTATAAGCAGCCATCCACCACGACTCACTGGGGATCGAGAGATCTGATGAGTGAAAACAAAAGACGAAAAAACATTCGGGACCGAAGCTCCATCGAAATTGGCTGGTGACGCGGCTGCATTTCTAAATAAAAGCATGTCCTTTTGGTGGCGTTTGCAGCCGCAGCTTTTGGTTCTGGGTGAGAGAACCGGGCCTGCCCGTCCCATCAGCCGCAGGTGAAGCTCATCGCTCCACCCACCTTAAAGCCAGGGCGGAGAGCACATCGGCTTGGATTATACAGATGGGATTCTGTGTGTGAAATAACGCCAGTTAAATGATTACCTCAGTGTTGTTTGCGTGCATGTTGTCCAGTAGCTAATACTAGAATTAATATCCGTTTTTTTTTTCATAAACCTGATTGCGTGATGCTCCTCTGGCCACTCGTTGCCCTACGCACTGTGCGTGATCCGTGTTGAGGGAGCACCGGCACTGGTTCAGCGTGAGATATTGGAGGCGTGGCGTGAGAGCGTGTGAAGAGGGTCAAATGCGTGTATCTCACACTAAATGTGTGAGATTTGGCAGTCCTGGTTAACTTATTCTGGTCTCCTGAGTTTGCATGTGGGCCAAATGATGACGGCGTGACTGCGTTTCTAGGGGAAACCGCAGCTGGAGTTGAAGCAGCACACAAGACTCATTAGGGTGGATAAAAAGAACAAGGATGAACGCATCCCTTACAGGGATAAACTTGTGAAGGAGGCTAGAGATTGGTATTTTTAGAAATTGTCTACAGTCAACAACTTAGATTTCTACAACCTCAAAGGAAACATACACAGCTCAGACGTTTCATTACCGCCAAAACTATATCAGGTGAGTTAACATAGCACTGCAACATATTTACAATCAGCTCCTTATTATAAATATGCATTACAAATACAATTATTATTATTATTATTATTATTATTATTATTATCAAGTAAAAGTTAAAGTAGCCATCCAGAAACATTGCTCTAACACAGGCGGTGCACCAGGTTTTCATTTTTGGATGGGCCTTTCCTTGTAGTCCCTGCAGGTTAGGAAAAATAGGCCTCACAACCATCGACATATGGCTCACAACAAAGGGTGCTTCTGCTCACCCCCGCCCCTCCACCAATTTTCAGGGAAGTGTTTTGTTGTTGTAAAATACAACGCACATGTTACAGAAACCATTCACTGTATACCATTCTATTGTATTTCTCTTACATTCAGCAGATAATTATATATATATATATATATATATTTTTTTTTTTTTTTAAACCATCCATCCATTTTCTGAACCTGCTTGTCCACGTTTGGTTGTGGGGGGAGCTGGTGGATCAGGTGGGCTACAGTGCCAGTCCATCGCAGGGACAAACACACACAGGACAAACAGTTATGCACACACACACACTCACACCCAAGGACAATTTAGACAGACCAATCAACCTAACAGTCATGTCTTTGGACTGTGGGAGGAAGCTGGAGTACGGAAAGAACAACATCCAGGTTGAATCTCAGGTACAGAAGTAATTTCAAAGTAGTAACTATGTTATTTCTGAAGTGAGAAACTGAGTAGTTAACCATACTACTTTACTTAAAAGTAACTATTAATATAAAGAGTAACTACGTTTTGAGTAACACTGCCTTTTATCCTCGCTGATATATTTTTAAGTACGACCGGAAGTGACTTTGTGGTTTATTTTGTAAGGGTGGACCGGTTGTAGCTATTCGTGTTGCTAGGTTATTGTCGATGACATCATGAGGCTTTCGAGTCTCCATCTGCGACATGACTCCTTTTCTCGTTAACGGTCACTCCGGAGGTTTGTTTAACCGGAACCGAGAAGCTTCAGTCGGTAAGAACGACTCTCTTAACCCGCTTCCTCCTCCGCGGCGCTTCGGGCTGCTTTTCTCTGAGCTAACCGTTAGCAGCTGCCAGGTAAGCGGATCGGAGCGAGGACAGGATGACCTGTTACTCCTCTAATGATGGAGGAGATGAAACCGGAGAAAATCACGGTTAATGGTCGGTCCTGCTGGCTTGAATCGGTACGTTCTGAAGGAGAAATGTCACATTTTCCTCTGAGAGTTAGCGTCTATGAATTATTTCACAGAGCGGGTTCCCATAAGGTGGTTTCTGTGCTGTGTGCTTGTATCAGTTTTATTGGGTTGTGAAGTAATAAGAATGTGTTAGATGTTCTGTTGAGTTCATAAAGAGCAGCTGTTCCACGAATCAATGCTGATTTACTTCTGTCGGTATTTGTTTTCCTCGTCTAATCCTGGAATTCCCTCCCTATAATCTGCATTTTTAATCCATTCTAATTTATTCTTGTTCCATAACTGTTTAATGCCGGTTTGTGGACTTCAGCTGCTTTTTACTCCGTTTCAGTCTTGGTTCCTGAAAACCTTGAGAGTACTTTTTTAGTTTCAGAAAATGCTCTAACTCTAGGGATGAGCCAGAGTTTCATCACGGCACAGACAGCTAACTGGCAGCTTTCTCTAGATTTACTGACTTTATTATTTAAAGTGTGAACATGCTGGAGCTTCTGTGGGTTATCGGGGTTTCTACAGGGTTACATTTGGGCCCAGTTCACAAGGCTAAGTGATTGTGCCGATTTTTGACTTGATTCCACTCTTCTGACAACCTTAAGACCCTAAGTTTGGGTCTTGTTACCAGCAGAGACTCAGTGTGGTACTATTCCTCTAGCTAAGTATAAGAAAAACACAGTTTGGTTCTAGCAGCAATCAGGAGAACCTCTGGTGGTAGTTGGGTTTCTGCTGAAGGATGGAGCTCTGATCCTGAATCAGGATTTGTCGGGTTTCTTAAAAACCTTCAGATCATCTAAACAGTTGGCCTCACCTCTTTGAGGTGTTTTTTCTGTGATGTTCTATTAGAAGGACTGGACTGAGAGAAAAATCAGCTCCTCCCCCTCTCTCTGTGTCTCAGGTATAAAGTGATGCAGCAGAAGTTGTGTTCTACAAGTTCTGGTTCCTTCCTGCTGGAGAGGAACGGTCAGGCCTGTGGGGCTGTCACCGACTCAGTCTCTTCTTGTGATCTCCCCTTCCGCTGCCCCCGATGTGGTGAGAAGGAGCGTTTCCGCAGCTTGGCCTCCCTCCGGGCCCACCTGGAGCACCAGCACTCCTACCGCTCTCTGGATGTGACGTCTGGGGGATTCAGCATTACAGGAAAACTCCCAGATCCGCTGACCTCTGCCTTTCCCTGGCAGGACATGAGTCTCCCAACTCGCAGGGGGCAGCAGAGTGCCGTAAGGCCGCCACACCTTCGCTCCCTAAGTGACAGCAGGGACAGCGGTTACCTGCACTCCTACAGCTCTGTGAGGAGGCGCACTCAGAGTGTTGGGGTGGGCACACAGGCAGAGGAGGAGGAGGAGGAGGATGAAAGAAGCAGAAGTGAGCAGGACATCAAGCTGTCCAACAAAAGGTCAGACGCAGGCCATCAATACCACAACCACCATCACTTCCTGTTCTCTGCTCCAGCTTCCTTCAGCCCAGACCCACACCAGGACCCAGACCCAAACCTGGACCTGGTTGGTAAGTCTCACGGTCCCAACACATTCACCGCTTGACCCGTGACGTTAAATCTTGTTTCCTCCAGCTCAGAGCTCCTTCTCTGGCGTGGAGACTGCGGCGGCCTCAGCGGCGGTGCGTCGGCGGCTGGCCCGGATCCTGAGAGCAGCAGACAGCACCATGCAGCGCCGGCTGGCCCAGCTCAGCACGGAGCTGGCCAGAACCGACACGGAGCTGCTGTGTGAGCGTGCCCACTCGCAGCACCTGGCCCAGGAACGCCAGGAAGTAGCAGACCGGGAGCGGTCTTTGAGCCGGCAGGTGGACGTCGCCGTCATGGTGATCGCAGCGCTGAAGGAGCAGCTCAACGCCTCAGAGAACGAGCTGGAGCGCCGGGAGAGGTGAGAGCCTCTGGAGCTGCTGCCTGCTGGTAGACCTGGTATTTATCTGCTTCATTTTGGACTTTCAGAGAGGTTCTGACCATCCAGATGTTCCTGGAGGCAGCAGCTCGACAGGAGACGAGTGGAAAAGTCCGGATCCAGCGTTTCATCGAGAACCTGTTGGGTCGCATTGCTCTGGCTGAGAAGCTGGTGGAGTATTACCAGGTGAACAGCAGCCAGCCTCGGTGTAACCACTACAAGGTACAGCAGCCAGCGCGGTGGTTGTGATCCGTTTGCCTATAGATTCTGGATTAAAGTAGGGTTTTTGTGTACATTTGACCCATTTTTAGTTGAGTGTGTTTTTATAAACCGTTTTTTTCTCATTCTGCTCATTGTGCATCGATCCAAAGTTAACGTTTTTTTCTTTTAGCAGCAGAGTGATAACGGACCTCACAGAATCACGAAAAGCAGGTGAGTCCAAACCCCTCCAGATCTCTGTGCTCTGTCTTTAGCTCCTGTTAGTCCGAGGATCCTCGTGTGGGTCTTGTTTTCATGTTGTTGTCACGTTTAATTCCTCACTGACCCCTGCTGCACACTGGAAGCGTCAGCGGCGTGGAAAGGTTTACTCGCGACTGTCGCTGCTCTCCAGTGCACACCAGGAAAGTCCCAGCTGCGAAGCGGCTTCTCCGCTGTGCTCCTCGCTCGACTCCCTCGTGTTTATGCCGTCCACCATTAAAAATCGATTTGATTCAGATTCTCAAGAATTAGAATCGATTAATGTGATTTAATAAGTCGCATTTTGGGGGGAGATTTTATTATTTTTCTTACAAAATCTCAGACCAAGCGTTTCACATTGCAAGACAAGTACCGGTGACAATAACAGAATAAACAACCAGGGCGCAGCAGCGCGCCACGGTCTCCAGCAGAGGATGGCGGTGTTTGAAACCCTCCCAACGGGCGGGTAGAGCACCCGAGGCACCCCCCCCCCCACAGGCTGCAGCAGGTGATAATGGTGTTTGAAACCCTCCCAGCGGGGCAGAGGAGCTGAAACCTGGACCGGAGCCGGCCCACAGCAGCGCGCAACGGTCTCCAGCAGGTGATGGCGGGGTGGAGGAGCAGCCATGCCCAGCGGGTGATGGTAATGTGGAGGAGCAACAGCCTCCAGCAGGTGATGGCGGGGCAGGAGAGCTCATTCCTGGTCCGGAGTCGTCCCGCAGCACCGCGGTATACATAATTTGGTAAATAAGTCGCTCCGGAGTATAAGTCGCAGGACTGGCCAGACTATGAAAAAAAAAGTGTGACTTATAGTCCGGAAAATACGGTATTTATGAGAATCGACTATTTTCAACACAACCCTAGTTAACTGCCAACAATGTGTCCCAGAAGAGGCTCGTAACAAAAATAGAACCTGACCCTTTGGCGGCGTGGAGCGGCGTGCTGCTTCTGAAAGTCGCCGCGTCGCAGCTCTTTAAGTCACCCCCATAGAATATAATGGATTGTGTCTGAAGCAGTGGCGTTCCACGCTGATGCTTCCAGTGTGCAGAAAGCTTTAGCGTGTAAAACGCCTCATCAGAGTCGCAGCCTGAATCTGAACCTCGGCCCGGTTCAAACAGCAGGATACATGAGTTCTCTAGAAACATGATAAATGATACGTGTGTGTGTGCGCGTGTGTGTGTGCCAGCTTTCGGAGCCCGTTGGCAGAGTTTTGGTGACTTCAGCTACTAAACTAAACTGCAACAATCTTAACTAAAGAAGCAGGAAGTAGGAAAGAGCAGGAGCACCCTGAGTGGAGAACCGGGCCGCAGATTCCCGTAGACCAGTTGCTGTGGTTCCAGTTCTGTGGCTGAAGCTGTCCCTGGTGTTCGCAGGTCAGCAGGAGGTCAGCTGTTCCCGTCTGGTCTCTATGACAACAGAGCCCAGTCCTCCTCCCACTTTGGTCCTTCCTTCTCCAAAGCTGGTTTGGATCGGGAATGGGAGCGCCGGGAGCGCTTGGCCCAGTCTTCCAGGCTGTTCTGTCGGCCCGAGCACAGAGACGACATCTGGAACCGCCAACGGCGCCGGTCCACTGGATACGAGGCATAGAACTTTAGAGAACCGGGTGAAGCGGTTATTCCAGAGTGTTCATGTGAGGGAAGTTCTGTTCATCGGGAACCCAGAGTTCTTCTACGGTCTGCTGTTGGCTCTGTTTCCAGATGATAATCTATGAGGCTTTACTTCTGTTTGGGACAGATTGTAGACAACATCCACAAGTGGAGCACAGGTCTCCTCCAACGCCACACCTAATGTCATCCTCCTCCTCTGATCCAAATGAAACCTGAAATCAACCGTTCACTAGATGGTAACCGAGTCAGGATCTGCCACGGATTCTTAGTCTGGATTAGATCCCGGATGGGTGAGTGGCACCTTTAACTGTCAGCACAAACACAATGACCCCAACGGTATCCTGATACCTTCCTGTACAAACCCACCGTCCGGTGGGTTACTCTCTGAGCTGGACCCAGGAGATGTCTCAAGCTGTCCAACAAACACGAGGGACTTTTGGCTCAATGTCCTTCAGTCGGTCCCGTGGAAAACAGCCCTAGCTGCAGGTTCGGTTCTGTTTCAGATCAGGTTTCTTATCCAGCCTGGGTCCGGTACTGATCCACCAAGGGGAGCCAGGGCGAGATGAGAAACTAGGTTCAGGAGGTTCTTGAGGGCCAAATCAGCATGAATCCGCTGCATAAAATAGTCCCACCCACCAGCTGTTCCCCCCTGCTCCTGTACCGGACCTAAAGGCATTTCCACCATTCCTTCGTGTGCCGATGAATCCGTTTTCTGCCCGGTCAGGACAGCTTTTACCTGCAGGATGAGTTTGGGTTAGAGGTGAGCTCAGGCCAAGGAGATGTGCTCTTTTAGGTGTTTAACTCCTTCACACACTAACGGGGGAGGTGACCAGCCCCACGCTGCTCCCAACACACACCCGTAGTAAATAAACGGTCTGACCACCAGAACCAGAACCCTTAGGTTTGCCTCTGATAAGAATGTAAATGTCCCAGACCGTGTCTGTTGTGAACACGTCTTTGCTGTCCTTGGTTAAGTTGTTTTTATCTATTTGATATAAACCTTTGTACTCGTGGTCCAGTGGAAGCAGCAGTTTCCCTCCTCTGTGGGGTTTTTATTCATCAGCTTGTTTCTGAGTCACTTCTCTGATGTCATGTTGAGGATTTCCTGCTGAAATACATGTTTAATCAGTCAGTCAGAGTAAATGTTTCATTAGTGTCATAAAGCAGGAGCTGAGCTGGGTGGAGGTTGTTTCAGGGTACGGTACCACGGTACTATAGTTAATGCTGTTATTACCTAGGTTATAAACACTTTATGACCCCGTTAATAGTAAGTCAAAAGGACCTGATCTGTGAGATGTCTGTAAACTAAATAATAAACACAGGGTTTCCCCCAGCGCTTTATAAGCCTGGCGGGCTTATAAAGCCCCGCCCGACCCTACCGTGTCCGCTGACACGAATGGCGCAGCGAAACTAGAGCCCTCCATCAGCTGAACCCAGGTAACCCCCCACCCCCCCGATGGCCAAAGCCGCCAGGCTTAACTCGCTTTCTGGGGTAAACCCAGAAACAGTTTAATAAGTATTAATAAAGCCTGTAGACTGTAAAGATTAACGGTTAATCCAGGATCTCACTGGACTGTGACTGTTGGAGACAGATTACAGACCGTCTGAGCGTGGTTCCTAAAGGTTTTGGGTCTATGGCATGCCATTGTGTGTTTTATGGGTTTGCATTGACCTTTATAGTACATTGGGAGATGTTACTCAGCTGTTAATGTTTTGCTTCAAATCCAGAGCAAACAAACTGAAGCGTTTTTATTAGGGCCGGGACTTTAACGCGTTAATTATGATTAATTAATTAGAAAAAAATAATGTGTTAAAAAAATTCACGCATTTAGTCGCAGCTTGCATTTCGAGCAAGGCGGAACCTTTGTCATTGCACGACTTCCTCGTAGACTGAATATCGCTGACGCACACAACAATGCACAGTGCTAATGGCTACTAAAACGGAATAAAAACAGAAAAAACAAATGATTTGATCTCGTCTGAAACAGTTCTAAGTAAAGTTGACATATTTAAACTCTATTTCTACAAAACTCGTAAAGCTACTCTTCTGTGTTTGGGCAGAAATCAGCCTTTTGTTATCTGGTTTCTTTTCCTGCATTTTTGTGGGTTTTTATGTTTGACCAGAAGAAACCTGCAGCTGCCACTGCTCTACTGCTCCTCCTACTACAGCGTCGTGTTTCTGTGATAGCATGCTTCATATGTAGCAAAACGGTAAAGTATTTATAAGCTCCTGTTATTCTGTAAGTGTTTTGTAGCAGAGAAAGGTCTATTTTGATTGTTTATGAAGGAAAGTTGCACTAATACGAGGGTTTGGATTTATGCGGTTGTAGCTGACAATCAGCTGGGTTTACGCACCGGTAGCAACGTTAGCAGCATCTCCCCTGAAGGAAGGAAAGGAAAGAGTTCAGTGTTAGATTCTGACACCTTCGGTGGAGAACAAAGCCGTTTCCATGTTGTGTAGACGAGTTAGTGGGTGTTCCTGAGTTCATGGCGTTTGTCTGTAGGGGTTTCTATTAAAGAAATAATCTCTAGTTTTGTGCCTTTCCTTGACAACTCTGTAGTCTGTAACTCACTGTGCAAAATGCAATACTACAAACAGCTGGAGCAACATGTGGAGAAAGCTGTCAGTTTGTGAAGCCCAACCATTAAAGAGCAAACATGTTGCCAACATTCCTGTTGTCGGGTCCTGTTTGTCATCAATACAAACCTGGAAAAATTTATTCCACAGGAGAAGTAAATCTTTAAATAAAATGAATAAAACAACCATTGTTACATTTATTTTGACCATAATCTTTATTAAAGGCATCATAAAGCCATTTTTTTCATGTTTTATTGAATTAACTCGATTTAGGTAATAAACTGAATCTTCATCCGAGCCTGAAAGGACTAACCCCGGCTTTCCACTGGCCGTGGAAGCGGTCACAGAACGTAATAGTGGCGTTCTGCCCGCAAGCTCGTTCCCAATCGCGAGCGATTTAGATGCGAAACGGGAATGAAAGTGTTCCACACAGCTGATCCCGTGACGTCACGAAATCACGGGAGAATTGCAACGCCACACGTGATTTTAGAAATTCACACACAATATTTGTGTGTGTGTGTGTGTGTGTGTGTGTGTGTGTGTGTGTGTGTGTGTGTGTGTCTGCTCTGTCTTCTCGATCCCCAGTGAGTCGTGGAGGATGGCTGCTTATACTGAGCCAGGATTCTCTGGAGGTTTCTTCCTGTTAAAAGGGAGTTTTCCTCTCCACTGTCGCTTCATGCTTGCTTAGTATGAGGATTGCTGTATAGTCACTGACACTAGTCAGTGACTTGATGCAATTTGCTGGGTTTCTTATATAGGAAACATTATTTCTGATTGGCTTAATGAACTGACCTGAATTGGAATGTTTATTATGTGAAGTGCCTTGAGACGACTCTTGTCGTGATTTGGCGCTATATAAATAAAATGGAATTGAATTGAATTGCGTCATCAACCGCAACACATGTCGAGATTCTGGTCTCTGTGATACTTTTTAAAAAAAACCTTTAACAACTTTCAAACAAACAACCAAACAATTATTTGAAATAATTCTACATTCGTTGCTGCTTTGTCTAAAGTTTCAGAGCATTAACTAATCATCCTAAAATTAACTACTTTCATTAAAAAAAAAACATATTTTCAGAAAAGGCACTTGAGCCTTTTTTCCCCGCAGCAATGGATTGTGGGTAATACCCCTCACCCGAGTCAGCAGCGATGCAGACTTGGGTGAAGTTCAGATCAAGGGTGTAAAAGGGGTGTGATCAACTTCTACATTTGAGAATCGAGACACCCTACAGACTCACACCCCCTGGTCGAGATCGCGCAGTTGAAGGGTGGAAGTGTGAGGATGGCATGCCCTCGCACCTGGGCGGGGGGCAAGGGCCTTTTTAGCCTTTGGTTACAGTCGTTGTTTTGGACACTGCCAAGTGTCTTGAACAACCTTTGTTCAGAGAGAGTTTGCTGCATAGGCTAACTGCTAGGTTAAGGTTAGGTTAACAGATAAACTGGTATTTTGTTGGAAGAACACAGTCACGTGACCTTAGATCCACATTTCATTCCAGGAACAAATGATTTAGGTTTCATTTAAAAAGAGTGTTCCCTAAACTACCAACATGAGATTCCAGTCCTGAGTGTAGACGAGACTTTCTGCAGCAGCTCTTAGAGCCTTGTTTAAAACATCGATGCAAAGTCCTGGGGCCTCATTCATAAAGCTTGCTTACGCACAAAATGGGGTGGGAAAACTGCGTGAACAACTTTCCACGCAAACTTTGGGATTCATAAAGGAAAACGTAGCAGAAAAATGTGGCAACTTTAAGTTGACTAAGGACCTGGCTTACGCACATGGGGAGCACCTGCAGTGCTGCTGCTGAGAAGATACATTATGAATTCCAGCATCATTATACTTCTACCCCCCCACCCCACACACACACACACACACACAGAGTCTGAAGAGCAGGATATGGAATGAGACAAAATGTCATGCGTCTGTGACAGCATGAGCGTCCTGTCACTGTGACCCGACTGATCATGCACCCTGGCTACTTGGCCAAGAGGATGTCCCTTTGGCTGACTGGTTAGTGTGAGTGACTCTCATCCGGAGTCCAGGGATCGGATCCCGCCCGGGCCCTCGCCTTTCCACCCTGCCACACGTCAATTATAGAACCAACACAGAAGACATGATTTTTATCTTTTATTTTCTTGCCAATTCTTTAAGTGTTCCTGAAATTACAGTCAGGACATCACATATTCTGTGCAGTTCTTCTTGCACTTCGTTCATCGCACCAATCACATCCCTCTGTGCCTGCAGGACAGCGTCCGTTAGCACCCGGCCACCTCTAGGAGCGCCATGCGCCCGAGGCGCACTGGTAGGACAGGCCGACTCTGCAGTCACATCTATGGTCGCCGCCCAGGATGCCTCGTTGGACGCTTCGTCCAGAGCCACTGGGGGGATACGACAAGATTTTGTTTTGTTTTATATTTTAATGACGGACACATTTGATCTGTATTAATAAAAGGCTTAAACGTTACCAGTCTCCTCTGCATGGTCTGTGTCTCACTCCTCCTCCGGCACGAGGCCACACACGCTTGCCGGTCCGAGTACTGCTGAGATCCTAACGGTGAGCGGTGGGAGATCAGAGGTGCCAGGGCCTCCTCCAGTGGCAGACACACTCTGGCGTTGGCAAAACATTTTGTTTTTTAGCCTCCACCTTCAGATCGGACCTTTTTTTTATATCCGCCACAGATCTCTCTGAAGAACTCACAGCATTGACGGCTTCAGCGATGCTGTGCCACTCCGTGGATTTTCTCTTATTTGTTTTGCAAAAGCACTTCCTTTCATTTCTCCACCTCACCCACAAGTACCTCAATTTCTGCTTCGGTGAAATAGCGCTTCCTTGATCTGCAGTTGCCATCATTAATGGTGGAGCGCTGCAACGAGCCGGCTTATATATATGCATGAGATCCACAAGACACTTTGCATTGACCATTTATGGCAGAAAGTGGGCGTGTTGAGGGCGAGATGTGATCCAGAAACACCTGAGAACCTTTTTAGGTAGAGTGATTTATAAAGCTGTGCTACTCCATGTTTGATAGATCACAAACCTACTTGGCGTAAGTACTTTTTTTTTCCTGAGCTTTACAGTTTTAGTAAGGATTCCACGCAATATTTGATAAATGAGACTACTGATGAATTAGAGACGTCATCCCTTTAAGAGGGAGTGAGATCCTCCTTCAAAGCCACCATAGGAGTGTGACCATGTTGGCTTCCAGGAGACGGTGAGGAGGAACCAGCGGACTGATCCACACACCCCCAAACCTCTCCTGTTAAGAGACATTGTCTGATGCAGGATGTCTGCAGGCGACTCAGCAGGACGCAATCTGGTGTCGGTAGACTTTGAGATCTTCGGCCATGTCCAGGGTCAGTATGTTTAACTGTGAAAGCCCGCGGCCTGTAAAATGATCCACTGCAACCTAATTTAGGAAGCAGCAGGTTCAGCTGCTGCAGAGCGAGAGCTCTCCTCACTTTCTGCTGCTGGATTTATAAAAGCAAAGAGAAAACAGCTGTTTATCACTGATTATCTCTGTTTATTTTCAGGAGTCTGTTTCAGAATGGTGAGTTCATCGGCTCGTGTGTTACTGATTCTTCAGCTGAAAACTCATTAAACACAAACATCTTTATTTTTACCCTGAAATGAATCAGATTTAGAACAAATGTTCTGTAATACATGAGATCACTTATTATTTTATTTGTCTTTGTATGAAGCTGTAAATGCAAAAAAGTAAAGCTGACTTTGAGTCAAACTATATAAAGTACATTTCACAACAGAACAAATAAAAACATTATGGATGAGATCAAAGGTTGTGGCCTCGGCATGTTTTAAAAAAATGTAAAACAATTAAAATGTCAAGCAAAATAGGATAAAAAAGCCACAAATTGAATTACAGTGAAGACTGGATTTGAAAAGACTAGTCAGATAAATGAATATCTTGAAAAGAAATACTATATATACAAGTATATATACGTGTATATATATATATATATATATATATATATATGTATATATATATATATATATATATATATATATATATATATATATATATATACAGGTCCTTCTCAAATAATTAGTGTAAGGGGTTAATTTACACCTAATTAATGACCCATAAGACATGAGATTCCATAATGAATATGGAATCAATCTTATGGATCTTTGGGTAATTTTAACCAGAAGATTGGAACTTTTTATTGTAGGGATTATGTAACACTTTGTATTAACTGAGTGACAAGAGAAGAGAGAGTCACCTTTAAAACTTTTAAGAAGACTTATTTCTAAACAATTTTAAACAATATTAACTCTAAATTCTAAATGAATGGCTGGGTCTGGTGTGAATGAGACATGAGATGAATGGTGTATGTGTGAATGATGTTTGTAATCAGAACTCTCGTATCTGGAGAAGCAAGTCTGAATGATGTTGTGATGTTTTGCTTTTAGCTATGATCGGAGTTTCATAAACACATTAGACGCCATGTTGTCGCTCTACACATACCCTTGGGATGAGACCTCCGTACAGATCCAGAATGCCAGGTCCTCGAACCCCCCTTTGGTACTGGAGCCGATGAAACAGCGACAGCAGTACGACAGACTAGTCTTTGGATTGTCTCCAGGTAAAAAAACGACAGTTGGTTGACAGCGTCAGATGGACCCCTTTTGGGTCAGTGAGTTCAGCTTTTATACTGAAAGGAACCGTTGCTTGGTTGGTAAAATGCAACAGATTTTATCCAGCTTGTTGGTTCTTTGCTTAAAAAGGAAGTCCGGGTGGCTGGTCTGATACTTCTCTTAGCATGCAGTGAACTGAAGAGAACTGTTGAGAACTGAACTAAGATGGCGTGGGGACTGGTTTTATTAATCTGGATGTTTTGATTTCTGGTCAGATCAAGGTTGGCAGATTTATAAACACCACAGAGACTACAGGGAGTACAGAATTATTAGGCAAGTTGTATTTTTGAGGAATAATTTTATTATTGAACAACAACAACCATGTTCTCAATGAACCCAAACAACTCATTAATATCAAAGCTGAATGTTTTTGAAAGTAGTTTTTAGTTTTAGCTATTTTAGGGGGATATCTGTATGTGCAGGTGACTATTACTGTGCATAATTATTAGGCAACTTAACAAAAAACAAATATATACCCATTTCAATTATTTTTACCAGTGAAACCAATATAACATCTCCACATTCACAAATATACATTTCTGACATTCAAAAACAATACAAAAGCAAATCAGCGACCAATATAGCCACCTTTCTTTTCAAGGACACTCAAAATCCTGCCATCCATGGATTCTGTCAGTGTTTTGATCTGTTCACCATCAACATTGCGTGCAGCAGCAACCACAGCCTCCCAGACACTGTTCAGAGAGGTGTACTGTTTTCCCTCCTTGTAAATCTCACATTTGATGATGGACCACAGGTTCTCAATGGGGTTCAGATCAGGTGAACAAGGAGGCCATGTCATTAGTTTGTCTTCTTTTATACCCTTTCTTGCCAGCCACGCTGTGGAGTACTTGGACGCGTGTGATGGAGCATTGTCCTGCATGAAAATCATGTTTTTCTTGAAGGATGCAGACTTCTTCCTGTACCACTGCTTGAAGAAGGTGTCTTCCAGAAACTGGCAGTAGGACTGGGAATTGAGCTTGACTCCATCCTCAACCCGAAAAGGCCCCACAAGCTCATCTTTGATGATACCAGCCCAAACCAGTACTCCACCTCCACCTTGCTGGCGTCTGAGTCGGACTGGAGCTCTCTGCCCTTTACCAATCCAGCCACGGGCCCATCCATCTGGCTCATCAAGACTCACTCTCATTTCATCAGCCCATAAAATCTAGCGGCCTTAAGCTCATCCAGAGTGTTGGGTCTTGCGTCTCTCAACTTTCTCTTCACAATATCCCACAGATTCTCTCTGGGGTTCAGGTCAGGAGAGTTGGCAGGCCAATTGGGCACAGTAATACCATGGTCAGTAAACCATTTACCAGTGGTTTTGGCACTGTGAGCAGGTGCCAGGTCGTGCTGAAAAATGAAATCTTCATCTCCATAAAGCTTTTCAGCAGATGGAAGCATGAAGTGCTCCAAAATCTCCTGATAGCATTGACCCTGCCCTTGATAAATCACAGTGGACCAACACCAGCAGCTGACATGGCACCCCAGACCATCACTGACTGTGGGTACTTGACACGACTTCAGGCATTTTGGCATTTCCCTCTGACCAGTCTTCCTCCAGACTCTGGCACCTTGATTTCCGAATGACATGCAATATTTGCTTTCACCCCAAAAAAGTGCTTTGGACCACTGAGCAAAAGTCCAGTGCTACTTCTCTGTAGCCCAGGTCAGGCACTTCTGCTGATGTTTCTGGTTCATAAGTAGCTTGACCTGGGGAATGCGGCACCTGTAGCCTATTTCCTGCACACGCCTGTACACGGTGGCTCTGGATGCTTCTACTCCAGACTCAGTCCACTGCTTCCGTAGGTCCCCCAAGGTCTGGAATCGGTCCTTCTCCACAATCTTCCCCAGGGTCTGGTCACCTCTTCTCGTTGTGCAGCGTTTTCTGCCACACTTTTTCTTCCCACAGACTTCCCACTGAGGTGCCTTGATACAGCACTCTGGGAACAGCCTATTCGTTCTGAAATTTCTTTCTATGTCTTACCTTCTTGCTTGAGGGTGTCAATGATGGCCTTCTGGACAGCAGTCAGGTCGGCAGTCTTACCCATGATTGCGGTTTTGAGTAATGAACCAGGCTGGGAGTTTTTAAAAGCCTCAGGAATCTTTTGCAGGTGTTTAGAGTAAATTAGTTGATTCAGATGATTAGGTTAATAGCTCGTTTAGAGAACCTTTTCATGATATGCTAATTTTTTGAGATAGGAATTTTGGGTTTTCATGAGCTGTATGCCAAAATCATCAATATTATAAACAATAAAAGGTTTGAACTACTTCAGTTGTGTGTAGTGAATCTAATATATATGAAAGTCTAATGTTTATCAGTACATTACAGAAAATAATGAACTTTATCACAATATGCTAATTTTTTGAGAAGGACCTGTATATATGATCATTATTCTTTGCAGAGTTTTTTCTGAATATCTGACTTTACACTAAAATCACAAAGTAAACATTTGTGAATCCAAAACCCTGCAATTCAGCGTTCCTGGCCATATGATTCACTTTTTACTGTTTTTTACAATGCTGATTATTATAATTTTATATATATATAAAACATGGCACCAAAGGGGTTAAATCTCAAAACACACAAACACTTGACTTTGTTTGGTGAGGACTGATGTTAAGGACGGAATTTGTGGAAAAATAAATTTGACTTTCGAAATATTAGATTTTTTTTACATCTTTTGATCAGTCATTTTCTGTGCGAAGGGTCCCCGATGTAGCTTAAATTAAAGGAACATCCAAGGATTAAAGCATCACTATTATCTCTAATGTTGCAACACATGATAAAATGAGAAATAATAACAGTAACTTATTGTAGTTAATCCCACATTAAGCCTTTAATAAGGCTCATTATTAGCTTCAGTTGAATCAAATGATTATTATTATTTTTATTCCTGTCTTCATTTTACTTTTATTTTGGTGACCCTGAACACATTTCCTGTCCTACAGTACACAGAGAAGGAGGGTTTGAGGCTGGGTCTGGTGGGCTGGGTGAAGAACACGTATGGTGGGACGGTGGTGGGCCAGGCCCAGGGTCCAGCCCCCTTGGTGGAGGAGATGTGAGTTCACACTTTAACACAAATAAGACCAGCTTTTACTTTGGGATTTCCCCTCCCACCTGACAGTTGTAGAGCAGGGGATGTCACTACTGATCCTGGAGGGCCGGTATCTGCTCCAACACGCTTGATTTAGTGGTTGAAGCACCTGCTCAGCACCTCATGAGGCTCTGAAGAAGCCTGTTAACCACCTGCTGATTAGAATCATGTGTGTTGAAGCAGGGAAACAACTAAAACATGCTGTAGTGGCCCTCCAGGACTGAGAGCCCCTGTTGAAGAGTGTAGGAGGGTCATGGTAAAGTGGTGATGATGTTTATAACCACTAGGTGGAGCTCTTCCCCTTCACAGCATTCTGCCATGGTTCAGTTATGTAACTCAGATCAAATAATCTGAAGTGAAATGACAAACAGAAACAGTCTAAACCATCAAATCTAAGCAGTCCCACTCACCTGGTCCATAGCAGAACACAAAACAAACATCCTTCCCTGTAGCTTACAGGAGTCACTGATTTAAGGTGGAACTACTTCTGTAGGAGTCTACTTAAAACCAAATAAAATCATGTCATTCCTGTGGAACACATTAGTCACTTTGACCCTTTAAACTTTCTCTTTTCAAAAGGAGAACACTGTTTTTCACACTGACGCCTTCCTGTTCACTCCACTTTCACCATGACCTCACTTCCTGTCAGGCATGGGAACCAGGATACAGGAATGTTGGGGAAAAAGGAGGAAACATTCCTGCTGGTGGGAGGCGAGGAGTTGGAGATTTTTGGTCTTTTTCTGCTCTCCACACCTGGTTGGTGCTTCTCCTTCACCCACCTGCCTCTCCTTCCACTGAAGCCATTGATTCTGATTCCTAGTGAACAGCTCCCACTTGCCTATGAAGGGCTGGCTCATAAGCAGGTCTCTAGAGCAGGAGAACAGAAGTGGGGTTACCATGATGTGCAGCAGTAATAAACAAGATGCTGTGACATAATCACCTGAGATTTCCTGTTTATTATGTCAGAACGCTGAGCCCGGTGCGTGACGGGAGGACAGAGATCTGTGAGTTTTAGAGCAAATTATAATCCAGCTCTAATATGTGTTTTTGGACATTAGTGGGTCATGGAGCAGATCAGCCAGCTGCATTTGGAGACTTTTTTTTTTGACGGTATAAGAAGTGGGACATCTATTCTCTGTGTCTGAGCTTCAGTCGGTGCAGTTCTGACCCTGATCCGATACAATCTCCTCTAATCTACAGCCACGCTCTCCAAAGAAGCGCCGCTGCAGAAAACTCTCATTCTCAGGGTTAAATTTAACTGAAGGAATGTTTTGGTTTTCCCATCATGCCCCTGGGGCACCAGATGAGGACTTGGCCCCTGACCTGTCTGCAGTTTTGGGCCCAGAAGTGGTGAGACCAACAACATAGATCCGTCTGATGGGATTTAGTTCTTTCGAGGAGTTTGGAGCAGCTGGTTTGTGTTAAAAGATCTTTGTTTTAAGTTATTTATTTTCTAGTTTTGTTATATAGATTCCTGTTTTATTCATGTTGTTTACAGCTGATGTTTCCTCCAGTTTGAGCTAACCTATCCTGATGTCATTTTATTTTGAAAGAACATCTCCATGAGCTGCTTGCTCCTATGTATTCTCTCCATGTTCTATGTAGTTCAGCTGTATCATGCATTCTGTATCCTCTCTGCAGGAAGGTTTGGTTGAGTAAAGAAGGAAGTCCATCATGTCGGATCACCAGAGCTTCCTTCACCAACCAGAGGGCCATCGATAAACTGGAGATGTCTGGGTTCAGCACTCGGTTCTGAGCAGCTGAGCGGCTTCTTCTCCACTATCGGGAGCAGAGAAGATGCTAAGAGCTACGGTTACAAAATGTAACAACAATTTTCTGCTGCAGGCTGAGTTATCAGCCAGAGAAATGTGAGATTTTAATTTTAAAACATTTTGTTTGTTTTGTTATAAAAGCATCCTAATATTCAGACATTCAGTTGGAACGTGTAGAACTAGAGCTCTTATTAGTCTGACACAAAATAATCTGAGAAAAGAAAACCTTTGATGGAATTTGGTGGCTTTTCAACACATTTTGATAACTTAAATAACTGTAAAACTATCCAAATGATAAAAAATGTATTTCTTGCTTTTGTGTGTGTTCTTATTTATTTATTTATTTATTTTCCAGTAAAGCACGTTTTGGTTTTTGATGTTTCTGATGCTCATAGAAGCATCATTCGCTTAGGTAATAATGGGATCTGGTTCAGAAACAGTACGGTTGTGATGTTTGATACAAAAAGTTGAAAACAGGCTGAGTTTGATGTCTGTAAGACTAGTTGTTGAGTTTACTCGTTGCATTTGAGATGATTTCATGCCTTGTTGATAATTTACCCAAATGATGAGTTTACATTTACAGGTCAGAGTCAGTGGCGTCTCTGGCATTAGTTAAGTGGGACAGAACAAGTCAACAGCTGTTAGCAGCAACACCGTTAGCCACATTAAAATCCACAGGCTGCACGCTGACAGTGGTCAGGGGGAAGCCCTGCCTGGAGTACAGGACAGTCATCATGGACTGTGTGGACTGGTGTGAGCGTAACCACCTTCACTTGGGGATTGACTTCCAGAGAAACACTCCCCCTCACTCACCAGTAAACATCCAGGGAGCAGACATTGAGGTGGTGAATATATTAAGTGCCTGGGTGTTCATCTCAACAGCAAACTGAACCGGTCCAACAACACGGATACTCTGTATAAGGGCCAAAGCCGCCTTCACCTCCTGAGGAGGCTGAGGTCCTTCAGAGTTAATTCCCATCTGCTAAAATCCTTTTATCACTCTGTTGTTGGCTCTGTTATCCACTCTGCTGTGGTCTGTTGGGGTGCAGGCAGCTCTGACTGAGACAGAATGAGACTGAACAAGTTAGTTACCAAAAGCTAGCTCGATTCTGCGTTGCCAACTAGATTCAGTTGGAAATGTGTGAAAGGAGAATGCTGGAATAGATGACCTCCATCGTTAATAACCCTCCCACCCACTGCATTCCGCTGTGGAGACCATGGACAGCTCCTTCAGAGGCAAACTGAGACTTCCCAGATGTAAAACAGAACGCTACCGTAGGTCATTCACCCCCTCTTCAGTAAGAGTGTATAACTCCTCAGTTTATCTGAGATATGTAGCAGCAAGTAGTCTTTTTCTTTTTTTGCCTCAAAAGAAAAACAGTTTATTTCAAAAATAGAAATTCAGTCTGAGTTTCTTCACAAGATTATTTATATGGGGCTTAAAGGAGAGGGAGCCATCACGCCAGACACCAAGGTATTTGTATGTGTGGACCACCGCTATGGTATTTTCCTTCAGAGTGAATACTGAGGGCATACTTAGAGGAGTTTGAAAACAACATTAACTTAGTCTTGTCAGCATTGAGGACCAATGTTAACTGCAGAAGTGTTTGTTGGACCTCATTAAAAGCTTTCTGTAAGAATTCAACAGCTTTGGTAGAGGAATGTTCCAAAATAATCAGAATATTCTTTTTTGTCATTGTACCACGTACAACAAAATTAGGTGCAATCCCTATATCAGAATAAATAAAAGAGTATAGTAAGGAAATATAACTGTATAAAATAGGGAAGCAACATATGTACACTAGTGGTGTGCATCTCTACCTGTCTCACGATTCGATCCGATTCCGATTATCTGCCTAACGATTCGATTTGAGTCTGAAATGCATCACGATTCTTCACACAAAAATTTTCATTACTTAATAAAAGCAGTAGAATAGTTTTCAATTTCTTTTTGATTTCGAAATCCCTGAAAAACAGAACATTCATCTATTCACTATAGTGAGCAATAATGTTTAAAGTGTGCTGCCTATAATTACTTAAATAAGAAATAATGTTTTCGGTAGAGCAGCTTTAAGATAGAATATTACTGAACTTAAAAATAGTAAAAAAATACTGTGTTAAGTGATTCTTTCACATCCAGGATCCCAAAACCGAAATTAGCCCAGACATCCGATTTAAATGTAACGGGTACATCTTTGATTACTGGTAATGTTGGCCCTGTATCCCTGTCCGCCTTTTCTGTTTTAAATTGGCGCTAGGGCAACACAGTGCGCATGTCATTGCAACTCTGCCCCCAGAAGTAATTATAAAACCTCAAAACTTTCTTGTCCTGCAGAGACATAGACCAGGAGTCGGCAACCTGTTCCCATCAAAGAGCCATTATTACCCGTTTCCCACAGTAAAGAAAACACTGCAGCAGCCGCGGCGTTGTGGGCGGGGCCTACCCTCAGACAGCAGCGCTGCTCACAACACGTGACAGCAGCCAGTACCGGTCGCTCGTGTACATCAAAGTTGTCTTTCATAAGACGATAATCAATAAAATGATTTATATAAAGTGGATCCAGAAGTTGTAGCCCGTCTCTGCCTACAATATTTAGATATTTTTCACCCTGTTGATGGTTTTACTGAGCAGGTGCCACTTTTGTCATACGTTTCTTTTTAAAACATGTTTAGACTGTTCAGCATACAAATCCAGGCTCTGTCACGTTTGATTGTTGTAATTAAACTTTGTAGGTGGGGAAGGTCAGAAAAGGATCCGATCATTTTGTTTTTCCCTCATTTACAGTGACGGAGATAACGGCGCAGTGCGCCTGGCTCTGGTGTTAATCAAGTTTAATTTTATCTCTTTGCAACAATTTTCACAAGAAAACAGAACAGTTAAAAGCAGGGTCATTTGAGAACCTCCGTCCTTTCTGCCGGGTGGCAACTGTTGAGGGGGGTTGGTGTCAGGATTGTAGCCTGGCCTGCCAGACTCCTCTGTTTAATTCTGCACAGAGGAAGAGCCTGGGAACTCTCCTATTCAAATAACCCCACCCCGTGAGAATTCCAACCGAGCCAATCAGCACTGAGTAGAGTACGTCACACACCACAACGCCGAGTTTGTCATAAACATGGTGACTGAAGTGGAGTTCGCTGCAGCTCTTTCCTTTGTTCTAAATGATTTGAACATGTCTTTAAAACCACAACAAGTAGAAGAGCTAAAAGCATTTCTTCTAAACAAAGATATTTGCGCTGTCGCCAGACTCCATTTTTACTACAGCCAAAAAAACTACAGCGTCGCGGACGTCACACACGGCGGCGCTCAGTTTCTCATAAACAATGAAGACAGCGGCGGAGTTTGTTGCGACTCTTTCCTCTGTTCTAAATGACTCAAATGTCTTTCAAACCACAAGTAGAAGCGTTAAAAGCATTTCTTCTAAAAAAAAAAAAAAAAAAATGTTTGTGCCGTTGCCAGACGGTATTTTTTTACTACAACTAGAAATCTACCGTGTTGTGCGGTACAGTCGGGATTTCCGTCTTTTTTCTGATTGGTCATTTTTGAGCTGCCTAGTCCCGCCCCTCAAGTGCCTCTGCCTGTGAGTTACCAGACTCATTCTCTGTGCAGAATTAAACAGAGGACGAGGCTGGCAGGCCAGGCTATCAGGATTGTGCTGTTGAGGTGTGCTTGTGTTTTTTTGTATTTTTTCTTTGTTCTTCTTTAGCTGGATTATTCCAAGACAGTTTCCCAACCCTGGTCCTCTGGGACCACTGTCCTACATGTTTTCCATGCCTCTGCTTCAGCACACCTGATTTAAATTGGCTCCCCAGGAGGACATTAATTGCTGCAGCTGCCTGTTAATCGCTCATTCATTTAAGTCAGGTGTGTGGCAGCAGAAACACACTGGTGTTTGAAAGGGCAATATGGAAAATGTCAGTCTCGCTGGTTCAGTGAGGTGGTGGTGGGGGGGGTGTTTACTGGTGATTCACACGCAGAGAGTGGCAGGCTTGAGCTGAGAGGATCCAGGAATGTGTGAGGAGGCTGAGGCATGAAGACGGGGATCTGGTAGAATGCCCGCTTGGCCTTTGGGGGAAAGGCAAACAGGCGAGGTCGGTCAGTGGATCTGGTCAGATCTATGGTGCTGCAGTTACGAATGAAACTGCATTAGAAGTTGGCAAAGCCGAGGAAGGACTGTAGTTGTTTGAGCAAAGTTGGTAAAGGCCACTCAGTGACAGGAGAAACCTTCTGGGGAACCATTGATATCCCACCAGCTGAGATGGCATAACCCAGGGAGGTTGTAGAAGGTTGGTGGAATGAACACGTCTCCAGTTTACAGTAAAGATGGTTCTGGAGCAGACGCTGGAGAACAGCCCAGACATGGCTAGATGTGGTCCACTTCTGATTTGGAGTAGATAAGGATGTCGTCCAGATAGACAAATACCCAGCGTCCTGGCATGTCTCGGAGTATATCATTGAGGAATCGTTGGAACTCCGCCGGACTGTTACAGAGCCTAAAGGGCATCAAGAGATACTCTCAGTGTCTGGTTGGGGGCTGAAGGCCTTTTTCCGCTTGTCAGCCTCGCAGATGCGGACCAGGTTGTAAGCATTCCACAGATCCAGCCAGGTGAAAATGGTAGCCTGGGAGAGTGAGTCCAGCACAGTGTTCAGTAAGGGGAGCGGGTGTCAGTCTTTGATAGTGACCTGGTTCAGACCCCTGTAATCGATGCAAGGGTGAAGGGTCTCCTCCTTCTTCTTTGCAAAGAAGAATCCAGCTGAGGTAGATGGCCTGATGAAACCCTGATCCAAGGCCTCGGTGATGTAGCGGCCCATCTGTTTGGTCTCAGTGGGGGAAAGAGAGAATATGCACCCACGTGGTGGGACTGCACCTGGGAGAACATTGATAGCCGTATCATACGGCCGGTGGGGAGGCAATGTGGCGGCCTTGGACCTGCTGAAAACCTTGGCCAAGTCCCGGTAGGTGGGCTTTATTTCGATGATGGGAATGGAAAGAGGGGTTGAGTTCTGATCGGTGTTCAGGGATCTGGGAAGGAGGCCCTTGGTTGGGCAGTTGGGTCCTCACTGGAGGATGCAACAGGTTGACCAGGAGATATGTGGATCGTGAGACTGGAACCAGGGGAAACCCAGGATGAGGGGTGTTGCCATGGAGGCAATGACTAGGAAATGAAGGGATTCGACATGCTCTCCAATGGCAGTAGTGCAGTGGTGGATGGAATAGGGTTGAAGTGGGTGACTGTCTACAGAGGCAACAGAGACGAGAAGGTCCAGAGTCTCTACTGGAATGCGTAGATTGTAAACCGGTTGTTGAGAGATAAAGTT